TCTCCATTCAATGCTCTCCTTGTATCTACCTATGGATAATTCTACACTCCGTGGTAGTGTTTCTATCACTTTAGTTTGCCCGTTTGGCAATTCAACTTCTTCACTCACGTCCTTCGTCAACATCAAACCTAATTTCATAGCAACACTTCTTGATAGAAAATTCTCAATTGCTCCAGGATCAATTAAAACTCTCACCTTGTGTGGATTCTTATGAAACCATCAGTGACAATGAGTTGAGCTTGCTTCTTACTCCTTCCATGAGCTCCCAACCATTGCCTTATTCCAACCTCGCCTTTTCTTCGCTTTGTAGAACCAGTAAGGCCGCGAGGCAAAGATTAATGGTGATCTTTGTTTCCCAAAACTGCTTCCTCCACCTCTTCATACTCTATCCCCTCCATATTGTTGAACGGTCGTCGCTGCATGGATCATCCTCCTTGTTGTGTCGACCGAACTCGACAAAACTTGGCTATGTGACCCATTCGTCCACATGCATAGCATTGACGATTGTCACGAACTCCAGCTCCTCCTCGAACCATTCCGTTATTTGCATAACCTTCTTGCAAATTTGGAACTCCCGGTCGCCGAATCTCACCTCCAAATCTTGGTGGTGGTCCTCTGGTTGGTGCAAAACCTTTCCTGTGTCGAAGGTTTCCCAACTCCATCGGTGTTGGACCAGATGGATCTCAAAAATTGCTCACTGGTTCACCGTGTGTGACACCAAAAGTAGCCGAAATTTGTTGAGCAATTGCGATTGCTTCATTCACAATAGATGGATTGCTTACCATCAACTCCTTTCGAATTTGATACTTCAAGCCTCGTTTGAACACGTCCAAGGCTTAAGCTCCACTCATATCCATGATAGATACTTGAAGATCACGAAATTCTTCAATGTACTCATGAATACCTCCTTTCTGCTTCAGATCCCACAACTTCATTCTTGCCGTTTGAAGAGAATCAACCGCTTGAAAATTTTGCAGAAGTCCTTCCTGCATTCCACTCCACGAAATGGTAGCACCTCGTTTTGAAAGCATTCTCTCCCATGTTGTGTACCAAGTGAGAGCCTTATCAGTAAGATAAGATCTCATGAACATTCCTGCAATATAATCAGAAACATGAAAATGGGATAAATGAATATTCATCCTCATAATCTATCACTCTAACACTTTCATTGCTCTACTTCCTTTGTAAGCTTCCACCTTACAGGATTTTCCCATTTGAAGCAAAAGATTTGCTTGATCTTCAATCTCTTGAAGACGTCTCCTATTTGATTCTGCTGCATCAATAGGAATTGGTGCTGGCTGAACTTGGGAAGCTTGAACTTGAGGTTCAACTTCCATCTCTCCAACTTTCTCTCTCTCTACTTTCTCACTCTCCAATGCGAAGATTTTATCTTCCATGGCTTGCTGCTTGGTATGCCCATCTACTATCGCTTTTCTCAACTCCTTCATCTCCGCCATGATTGTATTGAGAACCTCACCCATATCAATTGATGTCCCATGCTTTCTCACACTCATTCTAATACAAAGTGAGTATAATCACTATGTGACCTCTCAATAAAAGAGTCACGAAAGGTGTAGGTGATTCTATCACAGCTCTATAGTACTACTCTCCATTATCTTCACAAGAAAATCTCTCCATATCCTCTTCTGTCTATATACTGTTCTAATCTCTACATAAGTGCTGAATCAAATCGGGACAGGTGGTTCGCGATTCAAATCCATGAAACATTCAGTATAGAATGTATATAGTACAATCTCAAGTCTCTCCATAAGTAACTATTGGAAGAATCAGTGGCACTCTTGATTCCATCACTCTAGTCATAAATTCTGCACCCCAACAAGCCACAAGGTACATCCGAAAATGATGTTTCTCCATGCAACGAAGGTGAATATCGAATATGTTAGTAAGTGGCCAATGCGGTACTGGATTCCTGTCAATCCCGTCCATATCTGCAAAACCACAATTTTCTCCTTCCACCTCTCTCTACATGCAGATGAATGACCTCTGTCAGCCTCTATACACTCTCAAAACTACACTCCATCATCACTCACTTGCTATTCCATGAGGGGTAATCCACACTCAAGGAAAGAGCAAGGTCGCTTTGATACCATTGTAACACTAGGGTTTAGAGAGAAGCTCACTCGAAGATAGAAACGTAAACTCTGAAGATGAGAGATACCAACAATGGTTCTACTGTCCCTTATATAGCTCTCACCAATAAGTACAAGGAGATAAGATCTAATCCCCACCATCCATCCCACTCCTAGTGGATGGCACACCCAACTAACACACTAACTAACACACTCAATCCTTACCTACAAGCACACAGATTGCTGACGTGGCACTGTCAACTAACGCATCCACTGTGTACCTACCAAGTGCGCGGATCACTGACGTGGCAGCTATGACTAGTGCACACTAAAGTATGTACATCAATATTTAGAGTAAACTCTACTTAAGTTCTAACTAACTAAAGATGGTTACATTCGTAAAGTCTTTCACGAAGTGATAAGTAAGCTTATGAAATAACCAAAAAGTGTTAATCCTCCATGTATGAAAGCCATAACTGTGTGTTAAGGCAATGGTTGTTGGATTTCTGGAAAACGCCTGATGCCTTAGCGTTGCAGCATGCGCTTCATTACTCAACAACATTTTCGAACCAGTGGGCAATCCTGTTGCTGCTGCTTCAATTTGTGCACATCTAAGTGCACGAGTTGTGAAAGAGCAAAAGTAATCCATTTGTGAGCAACTGCAGAGTGCTACTCTTCCGGAGACAAATGTCTATCCTGGTTGGACGGCAAATATGGCTATTGACGTCAATTGACCTACTCGCTTTATAGACGCAGAAGCGGGCTCAAGAAATATATTGGAAACTAGAAAAAAAATCATGTAGACAAATATGTAGATCAAAGAATGCCCAAATGTGAAGGGTACTAACATGACCTAGAGGCCGTACGTAATGCTTAACCGAAAATATGTTTCTCCTCAGTTTGCCTACCTACTCCTCATTGGTAAAATCGAGGACGTGAGAAGACACAATATCACCAGCTGCAAAAGCAATGCTGTTAGAAAGCCTCTGTCCCTCTACTCACAAGAAACCCTTGTCCATTGGCTCTTAGCGATACTGAGGCACAATGGAAGGCAACAATCGCCGACTTGCATGGAAGTGTATGAAATCAGCCATGGCTGAATGTTGTAATATTGTGATAGGAGTGTATGTCTTGAGCACAGATTCAAAGCCATGATATATTCTTTAGCATTCAAAGAACTTCAACGAGCAGTCTATGCTCGAGATTTCCTAGAGGGTCCAAAAATCCGCTTGACTTCCCACCTAGTTTCAAGGTTGTGTCATCCCCATTCCCATCCCATCACATCAAGCTGCAGTACTTCTTCAGTAGAAGAGTATTTTCCATGAACATGACTGGCAATAGCGTTGTCACCGAGAACATGAAGAGGAGGGAAGTATTGCTAAAGTTCTCGATCACGGCCCCTACAATCGAAGCCAACGAGACACAACATGACAGCACTTAGCACTTTACATTTTTAGATTCTACGGAAGGGATGATCAAGTGATTTCTTGTTTGCGGTCGTCCTGTAAATACAATTTAATGTGCATTGTTGTACATGCCGCTGGTTGGTATTTAGGATAGAGATTTTAACATTGAGCATTCATGTTCACACTTTCATCGATTGTAGTCACATCGTTTCAATCCACCTTGATCCACTCTTTCACATTGAAGTTAATTTTACTCAAAAAAGTAAGATACACCATCCTCGCATTCATCGCACAATTGAAAAGTATGATTGTTTAAATAATATAACATTATTGGTGATTTTGATCTATGGTTATGCTCGGCTTTGATACCCCCGAAGTAAGGATGTAGTTAAAGAATACAAACATTTATATTTGCAGAAAACTTTGTTACCAAAATCAAAAAATTGAAGAAATTAAAAAAATTGTATTGATACAAGTCTAAATAAATGCAATGTAAATATTAAAGACATTTGAATTTTCTAAATTTTGATATTTCTATAATTGAAAGTCATAGTTTGTTTGTGTAAGATGTAAAAAAGAAGAAGTTAAGATTGAAGTTTTAACAAAAAAGCATGTGGACAAAAATCTAAACATGTATTTGAAAAATCTTTCAACATATGAAACAAAATCGAAATATGTGTTAGCTATGAATTCAAACTTGAGCCATTTAGATTTAAATTTTATATCAAAATGTGAAAAAATCTGTATAGTTTTATCATTCAATATAAAGTGATATTTATCCTATCTATAGAATGTTGGAGAGATTTTGTAACTACATGGATTTACAAAGATATTCACTTTCATATGAATTTAATTGGATTCATAAATAAATGATCCATTTCTATAAAAAAAAATATCTTGGAAATGTACAATAATTCATAATATATAATTATAACAAGTTATATTATAGGGTCCGATTAGGGCCACACCCGTTTTTGCTACGGCCGCTAATTACCATGCCCGCTTTTGCTACTACCCAAGCGCACTTCTGCAAGCATGGCAGTCGAAATAGATAAATAGAACGGCAACAATGACAGCCGCAACGGCCCCGCGCTCCTCGAAGCCTCACGATTACGCTCTACTTTTGCCTCGCGTTCGAGTTCGTATTAGCAGCTGGGTTTGAGGTGAGGCGTGCTTTGACGTACAATCAATTGTTTGTATCTAGCGGGTGTGTGTTCTAGTCGCGCCCTATATTATAATATACATATATATTTTATGTTGAGATTATGTTAATTTTGATTGATTTGATAATAATTCTTTTCACTTCTAGTTTGACAGGGTGAATATATTTACGATGAAGTGCATAATGCAATCTGAAGAGAGGATATACGTGGGATGAACGTCTAATGTTTATCATGATCGTTAGTGAAGTAAGAATATAAAGAACTATTTTATGCAAAGCAATTCAGTATAAATGGAGGATAGACTGCAGTTCACCTCCGTGAACAACTTTGTTTCAACTTGGTAAGGTTCATCGAGGAAGCTCGACCGGGAATCGAATCAAGAACATCGAGCGCGCAAGAGATTTCACTAAAATGAGGTTTCTCCAGGTGCAGAGAGGACAATTGCTCAGGTACTGCGTGCCGGGGATTGGATGCGCGGCTTTACCGACAGAAAGTAGAAACCATTCTCTCAGGGAGCAGAGTAGTCGCATATGATGGAATTAAAAAGCTTCGTTGCTCTCGATTTCGCAGCTCTTAACTCAGAGTTCAATTGAGAGAATAGTGCGAGTGATCGGAGTGACTGACGATTGGCAGGAGGCTAGTTTCGAACTGTAGTTGTACTTGAAGCTGAAACCTTCTTTCTCGATCGTGCCACTGGAAGAACTACGAGTGTCCAGGTGTAGCTTGCATTGGGGTTCTTGAGAGCTTTGTCACTATGAAGTCGGTATGGAAAAGTTCCGGTCTCGAGGCGAGGTTTAGATTTCTGATGACGGGGAGCAGAATGATCGAGCAAAGTCGGGTATTGGCACATTTTTGTGGGAATCGCAATCTGATGAAAGGTGCCTCCCTTAACCAATTGCCCGAAGCTGCTTCCAACACGTAGCCAACCCGGACCCCAAACTCTTTTGCAATAACAATTTGGACTATCCTTCTTGACCCAGTTTGACCATATTCGCATCAACTTTTGAGCAAAAAGAAAAATGCGGTAAATTCAGCGATTAGAAGCAGCAACTTGGCTCAGCATGCAGTCAGGGTTTCTTTTGATTCCTTAGGTTTCAGATGAAAAGATTGATCATGAATGTGCATTTTAGAGATGTGAAGACGATATACAATCATTACGCCATCTCAGTGTCCATGTACGAATTCTGACGAAAAATCACTGTCTCGCGCTGCTCACCTATCCGATTCAAGTGCACAAAGTGATACAATCAATTTCGATGCAGACAAGGATAGTGAAATTGAATCAACGTGAATTGTTCAAGAGAGAGTTCATAGTGATTGAACAACAAATCTAAGAGAAATCAATTGAAGGCTGAGTTTAGTTGGAAAAGAAATGACGAAGACAGTTTAGCCCTACTCAAGTCAAATTGATGCTCATTTCATTCAGTTTTTGAATACGTAGAAATGTTCTCAGTGGAAACCATATTTCCTATCCATTGCCTCAATAATATAACGGAAAAGGACCATGAGGAGGGACGATGAGTAGGTTGACTAAGTACTTGTTACAGTACAGCAGATATACTGCACTCGGATGCATGTGAGAGGAGCAGTTCGTCAGAATGAAGCTGACTATTTCAGGGGCTTTTGTTTTGGCAAAATGCACAGCTGAAGAAAGTCGGGTGCCTCTACCCGAAGGATCCGTTTCTCCCAGAGCACAATCACTTCCAGCTGCATCCCACATTGTGCCACAGTCGGATCCAAGACATGCATGCTTTTTCCACATAAGAAGATATGGAAGTGCGCCAGGGCACAGTAGAGTTGTCAAGGATAGACGATTTGCCGAGCTCAAAGACGTCGATATCGCACACTTCCGGCAAATCCTTGGAGACAAGGGGGTCGTGGTGGACAGTGATGAGTTGAAGGTGGCAAATACTGATTGGATGAATAAGTACGAAGGGCACAGTCAGCTTCTTCTGCGCCCTCGGACCACCCAACAGGTTCAAAAGCATTGCCTTTGCTCAGCGTTGATGATTTCGTTGATTGTCATACTTACAGCATGATGCGGAGGACTGCTTCCTGCGGATTCAAACCAGGAGGGAGACAGACTTGTTTAATATTCTCCATCTCATGTGTCTTCAATTTGCAGATGGTTTATAAGGAATCTGTAATTTCGAAACGCTGACCTTACGGCCCTCTTGGCTTCTCTCTGCAATTTCAGGTGTCTGAAATTCTCCAGTATTGTTATGCAGGGCGTCTCGCAGTTGTTCCTCAAGGTGGCAACACTGGCCTTGTCGGTGGCAGCGTTCCTGTTTTTGACGAGGTTTGGTGCAACGCACACTTTTCCCATCATTCTTTTTCCTATCATACGTTCTTACAAGTTTCGAGTGCTAGAAAACTGGAAATATGACATAATTTTTGACTGTGCAGGTTATCCTTAACCTCGGAGCCATGAACAAGATACTAAATTTCGATGAGGTGGGATGGACTTCTTACAAGATCAACCTGAACATCATTTAAAATTGAAAAAATGGATAAACAGTAGAGAGAGTCGACTTTGTGTATGATGTGCTGTCGTCGATCTGCCAACGAAACATCATATGTTGTTCATGTGCAGGCGAGTGGGATCCTGGTGTGCGAGGCAGGGTGTATACTTGAAAGCCTCGATAACTATGTTGGGAGTCGAGGGTATGTCACTGGAACTGGTATGTCGTTGATATATAACTAATTCCCAATCAGGACGCCTTGAGCTTGTATTTCTGGCATGGCTTGTTGGGTAACGCTCCTTATGTAACCTGACTATGGATCACAATCTATATCGACACTTTGCTTTTTGTCCTACTTTATCTCGTGCCTCTAGAGCAATTAGTTTTGCCTCACAGTTGCCTTGTTTGGAGTCTTTTCAGCTATGTAATGCCCTTAGATCTGGGAGCCAAAGGCAGTTGTCAGATTGGAGGGAATGTCTCTACCAACGCAGGAGGTTTGCGATTATTGCGTTACGGATCTCTACATGGGAATGTGCTTGGTGGGTAATCGAACACAGTGGTCGATAGAACAACTCAAACCCTTATCAGTATCTAGTTCCTTGTCTGTCAGGAGAGTGGAATCACTTTCATTTTGACTGCTTGAGCAAAGCTGAGGTGAACCTTTGCTGACGAATTTCTAATTGCACTCCCCGAACAAACAGGACTGGAGGTTGTACTAGCCGACGGGACTGTCCTTGATCTCCTCGGAACTTTGAGAAAAGATAACACTGGCTATGATTTGAAACAGCTTTTTATCGGTAAGAAAAGTAACATTCCTAAACAGCTTTGGTGAGGTTCTTTTCTCCTTTTTCTCTAATTCGTGCTCTCATATTTGTGCGTAAAAGTAGAGAACAAGTACGTTTCTTTCGTCCACAAAGGAATATCAAACAAACAGTGAGTGGCCACACTGATCAACACCATGCCCGTCAGTTCATTGTTCATAATTCCTCATTCTGACTACATGAATGTGAGTTTCTGATATAGGAGGTGAAGGGACACTTGGAGTGGTGACGAAAGTATCTATAATAACGCCTCCGAAACTTGCGTCCACGAATGTGGCATTCTTGGCTTGTGAAGACTACGTCAGTTGCCAGGTATTGCGTCTATATTTACCACTGGATCTAAACGTTTGTTCTCTTGACCTGATCATTGCCCGCTACGTAGTATCTGACTGGAATATAAATGTTCGACAAATGTCATTTGATTTCGACATGTTTTTTACGACCATATATCTTGCATGACGTAAACAGAGCAATTTGTTCAATTGCCTAAGGAAGGAGTCTTGAGTTTTGAGACGAAAAGACAAATTTATGTAGAAAATACATTTCTTGGAGGTTTGTTTAAACCTCTTGCCAAAGCTCATGTATTTGGCATGATGTTACCGAATGGCCATTTTTAAGTGCATCCATTGCATTTTAGGACTCCATCATAACGTCGCATACGTGGTCCAAAACCATGTTCGCGCTGCAATATCTTCAATGGGAATTGTGGCTTGGGCTTAAACTTTTTATCCTCTAATCATGCATTATTGTCAGTGCAGAAAACCTTTGCGCAAGCAAAGCTGCAGCTGGGAGAAATTCTGTCTGCATTTGAGTTTCTGGATCGGTACGCCCTTGACGTGGTAATCTTCTTCTCCCGCATTCATATGACTCGTAACAGTACTTACTGGTAGATCATGTGATGGGAAGACCATGGATGGCTAATCGTTGCTAGTATTAACATTTGAAAGAAGATGAAAGATGGGATGCAGAGCAAAGATAACCTGAGGCTAAAGAGGGCCTTTTCTAGAGTATATTATTCTCCCCCTAGATTAGGTACGTTCCGACCTTCATTTAAGAAATTTAGCTTGATCCGTTTTTTCGAAAACATTTCTCTCGCCCTTTGGACTTGATTTCTCTGGTTGCCCTTCTCGTTATGTGGTTTGATGTGCTTTTCTGTCGATTTTGGTGGTGGATGCTCGTGCTTCTTCAGAGCTAGAGAACTGGCCATACTGCATATGATCTCCGTTAATTGTTTGCTTTCTTTCTAGTGACACGAGCATTCTGATGTCCACTGCCTACGTTTTACTTCAGTTCTTTTTACGTATAGCTGATCTTTAACGTCATCAAAATACGGTTCAGAGATTTCTCTCGCTTTGTTGGGTCTTTGAAGGAAATATCATGTTTAGTATTTATTGTCTTTACTTTTGCTGCCATTGTTTAGACACTGTGTTACACCACAAGCACTATAGGTCTTCACGCTAAGAAAATTAAGTCACATCGAATATAGGCAGTTGTGCAATCATTACTTCTCAAATTTTTCTTTTCGGCTGTATAGTTACATATTATGGGATGGGCTGTGCAACCCAAGGTCTTAATGGAGGTTCATACGTGGAATCAAGGATTTCAGACGATTGTGTTCACTAAATACTAGTCTATGCATGGTTTCTTGTGAAAAACACAATGGCTAGTCGGATCGAACTCATAGAAGAGAAGCCGCATTGAGATTATGCGGAACATATTGCAAAGAGTAGGACCATGATCCGCATAGCCCAGAGCGTAAGAACCGAAAGCATTCTACTTTTTGTGGAGCTCAGAAATAGAATCATTGGTTCTGGGTCCGTCGGTTCTTTTTGACATGATTATAATCGTGTAAGTATTCAGGACTCGTGCCTGACCATCACCGTTCGCCAACACCGTAGAGTTCGAGTAACTATACTTTTGTATCCGGCTTTTTCCTTTTTGTCAACCTTAGATTTTGCTTGTAATTTTTCTCTTCACAGCTCTTCCCATAGTTTCATCTATTCACAGCACTGCTTCATATGAATAGTTAGCACAATTTCGAGCATATCAATCTATAAATATGCTGATAAGAACATCCATGCTGTGATTGTTTCGATAGAAGTCACAGTAAATAATAGGATCAGGAATGTATCCGGGCATGGTACATCACATGGCACCCGTAGGATGGAAAAGGTATTCTTACATCTTGTAGGCATCTTGTAATCGTCCGGATACAACATTTTCCAGGATGCTTTTTTTTTATGACCCTCTTTTTTGAGCTGTCCAAGTATTTTGTGTGATGAGACCGAAAGATTCTGTGGTACCTCTCCACCATCTCCGAATGGATGTGTATCTATCCGGAAGTTTCTTTATTGTGTGATTTTTTATGCTTACGACTTTGTGTGCATGCAGGTGTTGAAGCACTTGGATGGCACACGTGATCCTCTTCCAGATTCTAAACAACACTTCTATCTCCTGGTGGAGACAACTGGAAGTAATCAACTCCATGACAAGTAATACGTGGGCCATATCTTCTCCATCCCTTTTGAGAAGCGTCTCTTCTCTCTTGTTTTATATTGTCGTCTATCTTGTGACAGCTCTCAATATCAGAAAGCGTAGAGTGAGCTCGTGTGAGAACGCTGAGCGCACTCAATGGCATTAGTTTTCAAGGAGCCTTGTATAACTGTTCACTTCCAAACGTGGACGTGTAATGTTGACTAGTATTCATCACTGTGCTGGGGTATCTTCTGTTCAAATAACTACTAAAGAGATCTAAGAAGCTCTTTTTTTTCTTTCTATTCTGTATCCAGGGAGAAGCTAGATGCGTTTTTAGAATCAGCTATAGAACAAGGACTGATCACGGATGGAGCAGTTGCTCAAGATATAAGTCAAGCTGCCTCGTTTTGGAAAGTTCGAGAGGTGAGTCTATCTTTAAATCATATATTATGTAATTTTAACAGATATTCTGAGAAGTTAATTGCAGATAATGATTAATGTGGATAACATTATATGTTCTTCTTCATTTTCAGGGGGTCGCCGAAGCAATGGGAAAAGGTGGAGCCGTTTACAAGTACGACTTGTCAATTCCTCTGAAAGATCTCTACACCCTTGTCGAAGACATGAGGTCCAGATTAAGTAAGGCAGTTCTACTTTCTCACTTATCTCTTAGGTGGCTGATCCAAATACATGCAACTTTTTTCTTCTAGTGATCCAATGTCGGGAAACCTGAAATAAGTTCGTGGTTTGAGATATCGTTTCTGGTATTCAATATGAACTTCATGTGTAAACCTTTGGTCAGATTTGGTACAAGTACTCACAAAAGTTGCTTATGTAAATTTCAGAAGATTCTGCCACCGTTGTCGGCTATGGTCATATGGGTGATGGAAACCTGCACCTGAATATTATGGCTCCCAAATATGATAATGAGGTGACCATATGAACTCTATATTTGAAACAATTGATTCGGTGAAGAAAATCAAGCCATATCTTTAAATGAATGTATAGCTTGTGTCAAGCTCTGGGTGCATCCAGTTTCAACTGAAAGGCTGCAAATAAGAAAATTCAAACGTGCTCATTTGCGTGGTGTCAAACTTTGTCCGTCGCAGTTACTGGCACAAATCGAACCCTACGTCTACGAATGGACAGCAGCAGCAAAAGGTAGCATAAGTGCTGAGCATGGACTTGGCTTCATGAAGGCGAAAGCAATACACTACAGCAAATCTACCGCAGCTGTAAGATATTAAAGTGAATTCTTGCTGTCAATAGGAAAAGCCAGTCCGTCTTCGTCTACCAACAGGGAGAATTTATGCTTCTAGAACTTTTGTTCTGTTTGGTATCAGTTTTGTGGTTCCTAGTTGTGTTTTTTTATTCTATATCCTTCATTAACATGACTCAATGGTATTTTGGAATTTCAGGTTCAAGTCATGGAAGGATTCAAAAAACTTCTGGATCCTCGCGGAATTCTGAATCCTTACAAGGTCTTACCTAGTCCTAGCGAATCACATGTAATCTCAGAAGCTACATAAGCATGATATACACTACGGTTGTTGTAAAAAGTATGCCCGCCCTCAGCTAGACTAATTGTGAAATGGCATGTACTCCGAATTAACTGACAGAAAGAAATACGCTTCTACTCAAGTCAGAAACTTGAATAGATGTGCTGCATGCCTACATTTCTAAGAGAAGATCATTGATAGGGAAGTGAGACCAGAACCGGTCACAGCTCATTTTCTTCTCTCTTTGAAGTAGTAGTAGTAGATGTAAATTTCTTAGATGTAATTGCAGCCGGAGGTAGCCTTTGTGAAGATTTGACCATGTTGCACGAACATCCTCGACCACAAGTTATTACCTTTCCTGGTCCTCATTACTAATCACAGTATAATCGACCTGCAAGTGATATCCACTTAAAGGAATATGTTTGAGACGAACCGCATGAGTCTAAGAACAACTATGTTTCCCCTTCTGGTTTTAGTCAGCTGTTCATTTTTGGTCCTCTTAAGTCCGGGTGCTATGTGCAAGCGGCTATGTATGTTTTGAGGCTTAGATCGTACCGGTGGTAGATGGTAGGAACGGATGTATGCGGCGGCATGAATTCTCTCAATGGCCATTTTGCCAGTCGGAAAAAAAAGGGGGACTTATGTTATGAAAAATAATTACAGATTAATATATCACGTGTGTTACGTATCAAGGATACTGTGGTTCAATCTTTGCTGTATTAAATAAAAAGAAAACTTGTTTTACAAAATTTGAAACACATGTGCGCACTCGGGCCGAGTAGGGTACATCTCAACTGGTAGATTGAAAATACACACAAACGTCAAACGGGAGGGAGGAGCATGATGGGGAAGGAGGAAAGATGACGGAAAGAGATTCACGATTATGTGCTCAACACATAATCGTCTTCTGATAACAATCCACTCTGATATAACGATCGAACAAGCATGAACAACATCAAGAAGATTCATGTAATGTTAAGAAAGAATAACATTGAAGAATAAACTGAGAAAGTAAATGTACTGTTCTGCAATGACTGTCTAACGGTGCTAAAGAACGAGCCTGCAAAGTAGCCTATGAGACAATTGTAATGATTTTGGCAGGTCACTCTTTTGCAAATTTGCAAATTTGCAAAAGAGTGACAGATTGATGCCAAATCTAACCGGCAAGATGATAACAAAGAAAGAGTACGTAGACAGAATATGGATGCAATGAAGAATATTCCGAGGAAATGAGGTCGTGAAATCATATCTTGAAATTAAAACATGACACAAATTTTGTGCAAGTAATGAAATAACGTGTGAAGATCATAGACTAACGAAATGATAGATGGACAAGGAAGATGACGATGATAAAATGCGAGGTTGGAGCATTAGACTGCGACTTGTAACGAAAAAGTTGAAGTCTATAAATTCTCGAAATAGTAGAAAATCAGGATGAAAATGAATCATATGAGTATCACTAATCAATACCATGAGAGTTGTTTGACAGAAAGATAGAAGTAATCAGGAATAAATTCCTGAAGACATTAGAGATCTGAAGACATTAGCGGAACATATACAATGAAAGATTTATTCATCTATATATGAAAAAAACATGAATTCTATGATAACTGATAATTTAAGATAAAGTCACATGGAATAACAAACAATTTAGTCCACAGAAAAAAATGTGATCCTATAAGACGTCTGTCTGAGTTCTTGGTGTTAGAATTTGGGGATAGTGCCATTTGTATCTATACTGTGAGTTATTGTGTGCTGTGATATCTTTCAAAAGCATTGATGGCAACCTCGATCCAAGCCTTCAGAGTGCGATCACGTTTGATATGTATATAGTGTTGACTATTTGAAAGAACAAAGAGTATGTGGATTTGTGATTCTTGTTAGCAAGTTTCACATATGTTGAAATTGGGGAGCGATTATTTATCCCCACTTTAGATTAATTATCCCTCTACTGCGTGTTCAATTGGGTGATGAGTATATATAGCTCAATTTAGCGATCCTCTAAATCTGGCTTTGCTGTCTGAAAAGATATCTGCGAGGCTCGACCTTCCGAAGTCTCCACTGCCTGAGCGTGCTTCTTGGCTAATGTGGAGCACTCGCTAGCTAGCCTGCCTTTCGTTGGGTGCTGTGGAGCACTCGCCCCCTTTTTCGCTTGCCCGCCTGCCTTTCGTTTCGGTGTCTTGGGTTGCTATGGAGACGACGGAGGAGAGAGTGACGCGGGGTGAAAGATAATTAGGCTGAAGTGAAGGATAACTATCCGCTCCCTAAAATTGACAGCTCCTTTCAACATAGTGGGTGTTAAGATGTACTCATTACTAGTTTAGTTATTTCATGACATAGATTCCAAATATGCGGCTAACAATCCATCAATATAGTACCCGAACGTCTTATTTTAGCCCACGAAAGTCATATAATGACTAGATGATGTTAAAGGTAGGAAACCGTAAATTAAACGTAAGATTCGCACACGTGTGCGTTAGTGTATGAAAGTCTATGTAGTGTCATGTTTGATGTCAAAACAATGTATAGTGTAATGTGAGACATATGTGATATTTGTAATAACACTCGCATTCAAATTTGGGCCAAAAGTCAAGCCATTGACTTTTTCCTCAATGGAATACAAAGTCTGATGAATTATTCCAGATTTAGACTTTTTTATCCACTTTGTAAATTTCCGTTTGACTGAGGTGTGTGAATTGCTCTTTTTGTTTGGTCAAAATGATCCTTTTTAAACACATCCAATCATCAGATTTACAAAAGTACGAGATTCCAATACTTTGGGATAAGTTTGAGGGATATAATATTTTACAAATCAGAGAACATTTAAGACGCTAATCAAAGATTCTCAAAAGTAGAAAATAACATTCATTCATTTCCGTCTATACGACTATCTTCACAATGAGTCAATCGTTATCAAGTTGAATTGAATCAACAACTCATTCACATTGGTTCTATCCTTCTCTCTTGCATACATACACTAAGTGTATGTATGTTTTGCAAGTGTATTACACTTGCAAAACTGAAAGAAAATCATAAAATTAACAATAGTCCTAATTATGCATACTAATATACTAACAATGATTTTTCCCATTAACAGACGCATGTGATAACAACTGGTGACATTTTAGCACTGGCCACAAACGCAATAATTTTTGCTTTCATCTCTCACATATCATGGTTTCTATTCATGCAATCCACGTGTGTAATAAATCTCTTTTGTGTAATACGTAGTATTGTTCAAAGTCTTCATCAACTCCAAATTTTGACCGATTGGTTTAACTTAGCATCGTTATATTCGGTCATGAATTTGTCATAATACTTTCAAATGAAGTTGTCAATCGATGCAACGATAAGTCTTCAGTTCCGTGAATCAATTGAGAAGAGTCTTCAAATGTTCCAGAGTTGCACTTTCTCTGCCATCAATCGTTGAAACTCTACGTCCTAATTATTACATAGAGTCTCTCACGTCTTTATGTCGTAGGGTGAGTTTGAGCTCTTCTAGTCATTGAGAAACGCTAGACGTGTATATTTCAACTGTATGAAAAAATGCATCGTGATATATTTATATTAGTGCTTGATAGTATGTATATTTTGATGTAACAACAAGGTATGGTGTTATGCAATATGCATGTGCATAACGTTGAATGTATCATGTTTTATAAAGGGTATAAATTACAATTTTTTTTTCAAAACACCATCAATTCAAGACATTATTGTTGTCTAAATGATTGATTTCTGTTACAGAGGTAACTAAAATAATTACAAGTACTTTGAATTTTCTATAGGCTTACAAAATTTTGGAACTAATTTGAGTCAAATGCCTTAATTCTTCAGTGACTGAAAATCAAAATATGTAATAAATTTGCTGATATACTATATTAATTCAAGATCAGTTGAATCTGATACATAAGTAGTCATTATTTCATATTGTGAATGTAAAAATATTAATTTATAACAAATAAGAACTAATTAGATCTAAGTCACATACCTTTTTATCTACTACTATTATGGATTCCAAAATAATTTAGTTCAATAAGGTGTTATAGAAACAATGAATTTAACCTTCTTTGTTCATTTTCATACCTAAAAACTGATTTTTTTTCATAACATGAAAAATATATAAAATTCAATTAACCTCGTGCGCACGAGGTGCACTAGGACATGCACAAAATAGGACACATGGATTATACTTTACAGAAACGAAACGCGTGCGAAGTCACCGAGCGAAGATATTAGGCACGAGCAAAAAGACATATCCGGATACGTAATGAAATGATGGACATCGCGTGTGGCGGCTCAAAGGCGAAAATGTACAAAATCAGAATAATCCTAGCCAGCAGGTCTGCTTGATTAAACTATTACGATGGAAAGTGGATCAGAAAGTAGAATGAGACACTAGCCAGCAGGTCTGCTTGACGATCGAAAGTGGAGGAGGTGCAGTGGAAACGTCAGTATTCTAATGAAAAATCGTTGTCTCTTGCTTCGGCTGACACTTCTCGATGTTTGTGTCGAGAGTCGAAGTCTAGAGATGGAAGGGGAGGGACACAAAACCTAATGGAAAGGTGGTCGAGGTTCAGCAGGCTCAGCAGGTTCGAGGGAGTCCGCTCGTGCGACTCGCGAGGAAGCACGGACGATTCGCAGAGGCAGCGACGGCGGTGGAGGGAGGGGGTGGGGGTGGGCGGTGGGCCCGGCAACAGCAGCCCCGTGGCTAAGTGACCAGAGCGAGCGAGCCTGGGCAACAAAGAGCGCAGAGAGAGGAAATTAAAATGGGGAGCATCGGGCGAATGTGATTGCCAGTCAGCGTGCATTGAGAGTGTTGTGCTTCACGGTGGCGAATGCGAAGCTCCGTAGCAGCTGCATTAGTGTTTCTGCCGAGCATTCTTGAGCGAGCCTGAGTGCTGGAGCTGGGCTGGGCGGTTATCGGCCACTGTGAGGCCGCTTGGGTTCCATACTCTGCACGTGGGATTTGTCCTCGAGAAATTGCCCTCGAGAGTCATGGCGAGCTTGGTGAAGCCTTGCTTTCAACCGTGCTCACAGCAGTCGTTGCCTCTGCCTGCACCTGTCCAGCACCAGCAGCCGAGTTGCAGCGCTCGTTGTGGGGGTTTTCGAGTTTTCGATACCGACTGGAAGAGGTTGAAGCAGGAGCATCAGCGACCGAGCAGGCTAGCAACAGCGAATCGGCATTGGAGTGTTGCAAGCCTGCAAAAGACGGGAAGTGCTGGAAATGTTGCAGCCGTGACTGCCAATGTTGACCAGGAGACTCGAAGAATTTCACACCTCTTCGAAGGGCTGAGGAAGGAAGGGAAGGTGGGTGAGCATTTCGCGCTGTGAGGGCAGTTTTGCGCGAGTCCTCGCTGAATTGAGACATTTTTTGGGCTAGTTCTGAAATTCGGCTCCAATCCTTTTCTCTTTCCAACCATTTTGAATGCGAACCCGGTTATCAATTCTCTGATTTTCTCAATGTCTGGATTCCGACATGATCTTGATAAATCAGGTGGCGCTGATTCCCTACTTAACTGCTGGAGACCCGAATCTGGAGACGACTGCGAAAGCCATCAGGCTGCTTGACCGGCTCGGATGCTCCATTATTGAGCTCGGAATTCCATACTCTGATCCTCTGGCTGATGGCCCCGTTATTCAGGTCTAACTTCCGCCCGCTGCATTCTTCATATGAGAGCGAAATTCGAATTGTTAAGGAGAATGTTCATAGTGGAATTCGGGTTTTTATACTATCGAATACAGGATTTCTCGCTTGACAGTCATGCTTCTCTTTGCAGGCAGCCGCGACCAGGGCACTTGGTGGAGGCACCAACCTGGAATCTGTACTCGACCTGATGCGAGAGGTACGTACTCCGATGGACTTCGACATCGTTGCAAGTTTTCTTTTTTTAATTAATTGATCTGTTGAATGTCAAGGTTTCTGCTCTTACTTGTCATGGTATCTTCAAAGGATAATGACTTTCAGACTTGGCTTTCTCCAGGTAGTTCCTCAAATCAAAGCTCCCATTGTGTTGTTTATTTACTACAATCAGCTCTTGAAAAGAGGGGCGGAAAAATTTGTGCTAGAAGCCCTGGAAGCGGGAGCCTCAGGTGAATGTTCTCCTGGTGTGATCATTTGGTGCTATCAATTTGCTTTCCCAGACCACATGGACAGACTCTCTTAGTTCTTGTAGATGACCAAGAGCGTACTAGATACTTATTAACATGGTGGATTTTGTAATGCAACCGGTTTCAGGAATTGTTGTACCTGATCTTCCTTTAGAAGAGACAGCCAAGCTGAGGCGACTGACTGGTGCCGTGGGTCTAGAGTTGGTAAGCTAAAATAAGGCGTTGTGCACCGTTGTTGATCATTCTGCCGAAAGCAAAGCACCATTTTAGAACTTGGCACCCTCAGCCCCCTAGTCTCATGCACGGTTTGTCCAACCCATTTTGCAGGTACTTCTGACTACACCAACCACACCAAAGGAGCGCATGCATGCTATAACTGAAGTTTCGCAGGGTTTTGTTTACCTGGTAAAATGTTCTTACCATTTTGCAATTTCTTGTTGACAACGAGGCGATATGAATTTGTCGATTGTTCATTATTTTCATGACGTCCACAGATCCACGCTATGCTGTATTTCCTAATCCTTGATCAACGCATTCAAGAAGAGACTTTTAGGTGAAAGAGGAATGGATGTACATAAGCCATCGAGTTGACATTCTGAATGTCATCATGTACTCGTAATTAGCTTTGAAACATTGTCGTGTGCGCATGTTCTACAGGTGAGTCTCACTGGTGTAACTGGCGCTCGTGCTAACATCGAGTCTCGCGTTGAAGATCTTTTGAAAACCATTAAAGAGGTCCGTAGCTTTTACATTCGAAAAGTCCTCAGAGTGTGAAGAAGAATAGCAGACGACTCTCAGATTTATTGCAGTTTGAGAAGCATTCGGCTTTTGAGGGTGCTCAAAGCACTTGAAATCAGAAGAGTAAATGGCTGATTTACTTGTTTCGAGTAGCCTGAACTGTACTTTTGATCATGTCGATCTGGGTTTCTAGCAGGTCACAGACAAACCTGTTTGTGTCGGTTTTGGCATCTCAAACGGTCAACAAGCTCGACAGGTACCGATACATCCGTTCTGATAGTTTCCCTTTTTGAATGTTTCCCTTTTCTTCTTAGCCTTTAAATCTGTATGAGTTATCAGAGTGATTACAAGAATGCTAAGTTGATATATTTTCTTGATGCGGTGTAAAGAACTAAGCGTTCGGTCTTCTAACGTTTCTTCGTGGCTATCCAGATTGCAGAATGGGGTGCAGACGGTGTTATCATCGGCAGTGCCGTTGTCAAGCTTCTAGGCGAATCTGGTACTCCAGAGCAAGGATTGCAAGCAGTTGAGGAATTTATTGTCGATGTTCAGAATTGTATTGCTCAACGAAAGCGATGACGCCTGCAAAATATAGTTCATATATTCAACTTAGGACTCTGATTCAGGCAGAAACCGGTTCTAGTTTTCGCCGGGCTCTGCTGCCTAGATGCGGCCAAGCGATCTTCACTCTGACTTGAACTATGACGCGCGGCTCGGTCGTCGAGAGGTGCTGAGATGTCGGTGAAAAGTTTGAGGCTGCCCTAAGTTTTTGAAATTGAGCATTTTTTTGATGTGTGGGTGCCACTTGATATCTATCATCCTCAGAGAGGACAACGCAGATGGAAGATCTGCCTGTCTGAAGCAATTATAGGAATCATTTATTTGTACCTGATGCCGGCCCAAATCAATAAACTTATCGCTTTCTGTTGCCCGCTATTGCTCTATGATACCACTTTTGCTTTGAAACGCTCATGGTCACTGAATAGTGTGAGATACGAGGTTTGGTTGTGAGACAGATACATCTCGTAGAGAAGCACGAGGTTGTAAGTTATATTATACGTCTACTCATCTTCACATGAGCTTTTTGCAATTATCACCAACACCAAAAAAAATCTCTCACTTGCCGTATATGTTTCATGCATCAGTACTCAGGAAAAACGTCATGTGTTGCCAGTTTGGTAACATGTGTCCACTTCTTATGATAAAGTTTTAAACTATGAGAGTTGTCTTCTATTTTCATTTTAGTATTACTATAATGTTCAATTATCTCAATTTGAACATGTATCCTGTATAACCTCTCAAAATAATATTAAAGTTTTATTAATTAGCATTGCACCAAACGAAAGCCCAGTGGAGTCAAACCCAAGTGATAGTGTGATAGAATCCAAAGTTTGTTCACATTGATATGTATTGGCACAGTCTCTGAAATTCGAAGTCTGCAGTGCCAATACTTCTATTCAATCCCTACCTCTTAATCCTTCATGTCTAGCAAGGAAACTTGCAGCTCTCATAGCATATTCAATGTCATGAAGGTGCAAATGGATTTACTTGCATCATACATATACTAATTTATCCAATGGCGATATCACATAAGTTTCCACTCCTGTCTTGTAGATGGTAATTCATAATTAGCACATTGAAAGATAAACCATATGCTTTTGAAGAGGAGAATATGGAAAATACTCCCAACATGAAGTCACGACTTAATGTAATTCACGTGAATTGTATAATTGGCGAAGTGGTCATTGCAATTGCCGTGAGTAACAATAGTACTTTATAAGATCTAGCGCTAAAGTATTAGAGTTAGAATCAAGTCATAGGGACTATGATGTAGCTCTTTGTAAAATTAAATTTCTGAGAATGCGACTTTATTTCATCTTTATTCCATGAGTATAAGAAAATTTTATGTTTTGGTATAATATTCAGACTTTGCCGCCCAAATCAAATAATGAACCCTTCAGAAATCAAAATTTTTTTCATATTGTATCGGTTCAATGAGTTGAGAAGAATAAATAAATATTTATACATACATAAATACATAATTTCTTCTCAACTACTTGAAGTATTACCTTATATATATAATGATAAGGGTAATAGGCGCTCGGTGGTTGCACCTTTCTCGGTTCGAAGAAGCTCAGAAAAACCAATTAAGAGAGCTTCATGATGCGCACTGTACGGTTTGTAGAGGGTCAGACTCTTTACTTTATCTCCCAAAGTCCATGCCAACTTCTACTCATATGATACGAGAATAATATTACTTAGGAGAAAGTATGTATATATATAAATTAAATTTAACATGTATAAATTTGAATTATGTCTTGATAAAAATGAAATTATTTAGAAAGAATAAAAATTTATAATGTTGCATGCAATATTAAGATTCTTGATTTTAAAATTTTCAAGTTTAAGAAGAAAGTAAAATAAAAAATTAATGTTATGAAGATTCAAGAAGATGGTTCTAAAGAGTTATACTTCCAATCATTGTGTACCACGGGATCATAGTAGATTCTTGTTCGCAAAGTTATGTGAGATTCAATATATGACTGCACTTCTAAATAATCATGTTGTACACCAAGTGAACACCAAGTGAAATAGAAAAAACATTGGTATCCCAAGTAGATATATTAAACAATGAAAATGATAATAACGAACATGATAAGTGTTCAATCTTTTGGATGACATATGTTTGCATTCATTGATTCGGCCGTAGTATACTTTCTAACCTTTCAAAATAGAATATAAGATTAACTTTTCAATTGCATTTTTATCAAAGCATCTCGAATTCTAAAAAACTCGTCATAGTTTTATAATTTGATATATTGTTTTTAATCTATTGATTACATGATTTCTAGATAAGAAGCAAACCGAGGAGTTTAATCTAAATATTTCAAAAAATTTGAAACAATAATACTCAAAGTCTATAAGTACAGTCAGTAGTAAAACAATGATGGGAGATTTATAGTCTTTAGATCACCATTGCATCAAACTTTATATGTTAAGTATAGTTTATGGTGCAAACGTAACCTCCATCGTTCAATACTTTCCTTATTCATCGTTAAATATTGTACTTTTGTATTCAAGAAAATGTTGTAATTGTTAACCATATTAAAACTTGTCTTGACATAAAGTGTTGTAACATATCATTGTTATATTGTCTAAAGATCAAAATCTTAACAAAAGAAATCCCTGGACAATCTGGTTGACTTTAGATCAAGCTTAGCTTAATTCTAACAACAACAAATGAACTAGGGTATAAATTTGAACTCATACCCTACATTCTGTGTGATGTCTACAAAAAAGAAGTACAAGCTATCAGCAAATTGAAGAGAATATGTACAAAAAGAAAGAGCAAATTAAGGCATTACATAGTTGCTGCCTATCCGTGTTCCGTCGGCGACGCTCGTACGTTGTCCGTCGCGATGTTGACTAACTGTAATCATCTTTAGTTAGTTAAAACTAAAGTCGAGATTACTCAAGATGAAGTTATAGAAACTTTAGCGTGCACTAATCATAGTTGACACGTCAGCAATTCGCGTGCTTGATAGGTAGAGAATAAATGTGTTAGTTAAAAACAACATATCATCAATCCGTGTGCTTGTTAGATCAGAATTGAATGTGTTAGTTGAAAGCATAACGTTGGCTATTCGTGTGCTTGTTAGGGTTATACACCATGTAATCCATCCACTAGGAGTGAAATGAATGGTGAGGATAAGACTTTATCTCCTTGTACATGTTGGTAAGAGCTATATAAGCCAGAAGAGAATCATTATTGATATCTCTCATCTTTAGAATTATTATTTTCATTTCCGAGTTAGCCTCTGTTTAAATCATAGTGCTACAATGGTATTAGAGAGACCTTGCTCTTTCCTTGAATGTGAATTAACTATCATGTGATAGCAAGTGAATGATAATGAACTTTAGTTTTTGAGTGTGTATAGAGGTTGGCAAAGATCATTGATCTGCGAAATCCGGGTTTTATTTCAAATGGCTTTGCGGTAGTTAATGATGATTTTAGAAGACTAGTATTCTTCCTCATAATAATAGCCAAACACATTCTCACATAATCTTTCAATGTACCACTTCAATTTATACACACATCGACACTCCAAGATATTAAAAATCGTCACTCTTTCATACATGAAACAATTCTCTATATATGAAAACTTCAAATTTGCTTGAAAGTCTATTCACTAACTCTCTATATAAACTACTTGAGAATTTATTATAATAACAAATGATAAATTTTTTCTAACTTACTTTTACAAAGATAAATCATAGTAAGTTTGACTAATTATCCATACGTGACAACATGTCCTTGGTCTCCCAAACATTCTAGATGTTTACTAATTTCTAGATTGAGGTGGCGATATGACATTTGGGCATTTTCAATTTCTAGAATCTTTAATCGTTACTAAATCAACATTACACTTAATTCAACCAATGAAGTCCACATTATTTAGTTAAACCAATCAAAACTAAACATGAAGTCAAAAATATTTTTTTGAAATGTAGACTTTTGTACAAGACAATTTGGTACTTCATCTCTAGAGGAAAGTTTACTCAAGGAATGCATCAAAGTGAGAAAAATGCATTGATGAAGAGATGTCAACCTTACATGATTATGGAGAATGTACTTTTTCATCAAGGAGCTGACGGACTTCTACAAAGTGCAGTTGGGAGAATAGAGTCACCATAACTCATGAAGTAGTTTCATGATGTTATAATATGTAGAGTACATTTTGCGAGGAAGTTAATTGCTTTCAAGATTCTTGAGGATGGTTATCATTGAAAGTGTATTTTCAAAGATTGTGTGTAATATTGCAAGAGTTGTGATGTGTGTCAAGCTTTTGCTAAATAGTACATGAAAACCCCCTCCTATGATTTCCGTCCCGGTGTTAGGTATTTTTGAAAAGTGGGGTATAGATTTTGTAGATATTTTGAATCTTATTCATTGAGACAATAAATTCATTGTGATAGCCAGAGATTATCTTACCAAGTGGGTAGAGACAAGACCACTTAAATCTACTAATGAGTAGGAGGTTGGTAGATTTTTTTATGAAAATATCATAACTAGATTTGGTTGTACATTGAAGTTAGTTCGGATAGAGGAGAAAAATTTGTGAAAAATATGGTTCAAGCCATGTTGAAGCACTTTTCCATCAAGTCTTGAATGACCATTTTTTACAAACCTAATGCTAATGGGTTAGCGGAGCGTACCATCTACACTTTGTTATGATGCTAGACAAAGATGCAGACATGGACGAGACTAAGCACAATTGGAACAAGAGGTTTCATGCTATCTTGCGTGAGTATCGGATAACATAGAAAACATCAATCGGGTACTCACATTTTCGGATGGTGTATGAAGTTGAGTCAAAATTTTCCATACAGCTTGACAACATTCACGACCATTCAATAGAATATGAAGAAAGCGAATGTACTGGAAGTTGTCAAATATTGCAAGCAACAACTAATGGAGTTGGAGAATGCTCGAGCTTTCACCATGGTAAGAGTAGAGCGAGCTCAACAAATGTACAAAAAGTACCACGACAAACGAATCGGAACTCAAAACTTGGAGACATTCAATAGAGATGATTGGGTGATGCTTTTAAACGCAATTAGGTACAAGAGAGCTAGAAAAAAGTTTTTTCCTAAATAGTTTGGACTTTTCATAGTTGAGAAGATGTGGAAAAATTTCACTTATGACATCAAGGAGTTAGGAAGACGACACTTTGATCGAGTCAACCACAATAAGTTGAAACTATTTCATAGAAGATTACATTCTTTCACTCCGAGAGTGTAGTGAAATGTTCATCCAAGGGTAAATGTGAGATCAGATGTTACACATGTGTATTAAATTGTAGAATTAGCCAAGTGATTAACGATGATTAGCCAAGACATAGCTAAATCTAGCTAGTTATGAGTAAACTAGTTAGTTATAACTAAGTTTAGCTATAATGTCTATAGTTGACATGGTTATTACTGTAGTTTTAGAAGAGTGGAGTGAGCACTTTTATATTGTTTTTTACAAAAGTCTAGATTCAAGGGATTCGACTTTTGACTTTAAGCTTGGATTTTATTGGTTTTACTAAATGTATAAAAGATGATTGGCTACAGTAAATCTAATGTCGTATCCTAGGTGATTTGTTCCGCCGCTGCTCCCGTCGTGTGGGGTGCTTACGGAAATAGTTCTTGATTCGTATACCTTTATAGTCTATTGCTAAGTCATCTGTCCGTTCGTGTTTCTAGTGGCGTGTCTAATGTTTTTTGTAAAACAGATGCCGTCTCGAGCCATTGCTTGAGCGGGAAACTTCCTGACTCTTTCCATTGGACAATCGCTTTGTCTATCGTGTTGCGAGTTCTTGCATGAATATTCACTGTCACCTCCTCCCCCAAAAATACCTTTTGATTTCTGCTCAATCACAAGTGCCTACAGATTTCACTCGCCAGCATTTTCTGAGTAACTCGCAACGGATCCTTACCTATGTAGAAGCTTAGTATCATAAGCTATAGGAGGTTGGAAGATGCTAAGAACACATTATCTTGCGATGCAAAATTCTTCTTGAGGTTTTTCGCCGATTGCCACACTCGTTCGTATAGTTGCACTCAAATAGAAGATGTTGTACTGATTCCTTATCTTGGCATCCTCGAGCATAGTCCATCTCCATGTCCTAACTTAGAAGCTCTTACATTTGGGAACCGCGCCTTATGCATCACTCTCCACATGAAAATTTTTTCTCGATTTGCGTTTCTACCACCGCATAGGTTCGAGAACGCCTTTTCCCATTCTCACTACTTCATCGTTATGTTCCATTTCCTTTTTAGGTAGTGTTCAAGCTCAGCTCCTGTTTCTTTTCCCTTCACTAGGATCTGGCCGCCTCCGTACAATTGCCATAAATTGGTTTACCTATCATTTTCCAACCTGTATTCAGTCACATGATCATATTGAAGAATATGTGAATCGGGGAGCCTTTTGCCCGATGATTGCTGATAAGTTCACCTTTCATAAACCCGCGCCTTAGAAACTACCTTCTAGTCCAAAGCACCTCTATAGTGCTGATTTTCATGTTTCGAAATTCAGCTATGATCAGTTTAGTATTTGGCGGGGCCCTCTGGTGTTCATTGACAACTAGGTCTCGTAAGGTGACATATTTTGAGATTTCTTCTACTTCAAGATTCCAGGAGATGTCGTTTTGTATGATTTTTAAACAATGTATTAGGGCGGGATCGATTTCTGTCCCGCATTTTTTTAGGTAGGAATTCGTGTCCACAAGACTACTGATCCTAGTCCGCCTTTTTCCTTTGGGCCTGCACAAAACCTCCCATCTTACTAGTGCTCTCTTTACTTCCACTTCTCTATTATAGCCCCAAAGAAACTGTCTATATAGACCTTTCACTTTTCGGCACATTAGCGCAGAGAGTTTGATAATTGAAGAGTAAAGTGTGGGTTGTGCCTGGAGCACAAATTGTAAGAGCACCGACCTGTAAGACCGGGTGTTGCACATATTTACTAAATCCTAGAAGTGGTCAAGTGATTAAGTACGATTAGCCAAGGCATAGCTAAGTCTAGCTAGTTATGACTAAATTAGTTACTTATAACTAAATTTATCTAGTTATGACTAAGTTTGGCTACAATGTCTATAGTTGGCGGATTAAGTAGCGGAGTTCTAGAAGAGTGGAGTGAGCACTTCTATTTTGTCTTATACAAAAGTTCGAGATTCTAAAGTATTAGATATTTGACTTAAAGCTTGGATTTGATTGGTTAGACTAAAATGTATGAAAGATGATTGGCTAGACTAAGTCTAGTGTTGACTTAGTGGCTAAGAAGCTTGTAGAAGTTTTAAAGTTTCCAATGGCATGTCGCCACCTCAACCTTGGATTCCGGAAACTTCTAGAAGATTTAGCTAGACCAGAGGCATGTTGCCACATAGAGAGGGTTAGTCGAACTTACCTAGGTAAAAGTAAGTTGGGAAAAATTACCACGTGTTACTATGGTAACTTCTCAAGTAGTATAAATAGAGAGGTAGAGTAGCACCTCTCAAGCAAGTTTGGAGAGTCATGTGTGAGGACTTGTTTTAATAATGAAAGAGTGAAGTTTTTGAGTATCTTGGAGTATCGACGTGTGTTTGCTTTTATGTGAAGAGAGTGATGTGAGGAGAGTTTGTGCGTGAGTAGGAGTGATACATGGAGAGTTTGTGAGAGAATGTGTTTGGGACATGAGTGAGAAGATGAATCCTAGTCTTCTAGAACCATGATGCGCTATCACAAAGCCATCAGAGGTTAACCTGAGTGAGAGTCAACCCAGAGGTTGCAGACTTGGCCTTGAAGTATAAAAGCCTGAACTCCCATCTGCCGAGAATCTTCGTGATTTTTCCGGTGCAAAAATCATCCTATTGTAGTTTCGTGATGTCTTGCTCTACTGGGGAGCCCAGGTATTTGTGGATCTGGCCCGATTTCATCCTTGAGCATCATGTGAAAGCGAATCAGGCCGGGGCTGATCCATCCCGAGCAGAAGAATGGACGATTTCGCCATATTCAGCCAAGCACCGCTGCTCGTTTCATATTTTGCCATGGCATTTCTGAGATCTTGGAATGAGTCGAAAGAGTCACCGATGAAGACACCGATATCATCCGCGGAAAGTGAGTAGTCCAGGAACTCCGAATCCCTTCATCCTCCCAATTTCATAGTTGTGCTTCGTTTCTGTCATTAAAGGTTGTGTGGCGAGCACAAACAGCAAAGGCACCAGAGGGCAACCTAGCCTCACATCTCTCCTGACCGTGAATCTAAAGGTTTCAGCTCCGTTGAGGTGTACAACAGTGGACGCGCACAGTGTAAGTCTCTTCACTAGCCGGACGAAGTGATCTCCAAATTCACAACTTTCTATTGTGCTCCATAGGTAAGCATGTTCGGCCTTGTTGTATGCCTTCTCGAAGTCCAATTTGACAAACATGTCTCGACTTCTTCCTACCCTGGTAGCATCTTGTGCCATGCATAGGGTCAGCACGTTGTCAAGCATATTTCTATCTTTCACGAACCCCGTTTGCTGATGTAAAATGATATTTGGGAGTAATAGTTAGAACCTACTGGCCAGGATTCTAGTAATGATCTTGTGATCTGTATCAAGCATGGTCAGCGGCTTCCTATACTCCAATTCTGCTTTATTGACCGATTTCGGTATTAGTCTAATCATGATTTCATTATAGCTTCGGTTAAGATTCATTCTTCACAGAAGTTTCCCACCATAGCCACGTAAAACAGTTTAACCGTGGGCAAGTATATGCAATTATTAAATGACTTAATCTTTGACACAAACATATAACTACTAGCAGATTAACCAGGTTTACTCTCTTCTAAGTGCTTGAGATCCAACCTTTTTGTAGGAGTTCGATGATGAGAAGCAAGAGAAAAAATAATTTCAATAAAAAAAACAAATGTTGTCGATGGGAGTCTACATTTTTATTTTATTTTTTCAAAAAAAAGAGTCACGTGATAACTACTAGATCGACTTGTCACTAATTGAATAAGAAAATCAATTCATAGAGTAAAATCAAAAATTACAAATGACATGACAGTATAAACAATAAACATGAGAAAATAAAACAAATGTAATGTGACTTACGTAAAAATAAAATTACGTATGAGATTAAAATACGATAATAATTTTATCAATGATATATCAAAAACAACATGTAATGAATATATTTTAAAATTTTTAATCTCTGAATTTAATTATAGATTTATGATATGTTAGTCTTGATATTATAAATTTTTGTAATATTATTGTTAATAAAAATTAACTTTTGTTTTTTAAAAAATAAAAATATTTTTATATTTAAAGTCAATTTAAATTATATTTTTTTATGGTTATATTATACGTCTTATACAATTATTATAATAGATTATTTAATATTTTAATTTATATTTAAATAATTTTCATAAAAAATATCAATTTTTCGTAAAATAAATTCAATACATAGATAGTTTTTTCTATTAAATAAAAAAAGTGCAGACAATTGTTTTTTCATAAAAAACTAATCTAAGCACACGTAATGATACAATTTATTTTAGATAAAAGAGTGATGAATATATGGCCAAAAGAAGATATGGTGTACAAATGTAGATCTATTTAATTTCGCCCCAAACACTTACAGGACGTAGACACGTAAGAACTTGCAGTCCGCAAGTGGATTGGATTGTACTGTACTTCCTTCCCGAAGGATAGGAACTGCGTATATCTACTGGATGGATAGGTTTAGGGTTCAAGCCACGACCTCCTTCGATCGAGGGATACATAGTTCACGATCAGACTCTACTGTCGATACCAGGCCTGCCTCCGGCCATCGTTCAAATGGAGCTTTGTGGAACTCAATTCTTCAGCTGCCGGCAAACATCGGTGTTCCCCATAGCCGCAAGATGCACAGCTTTGCATAGCGTCGGTCGCGTGTGTCTTGTCGTACCTCGAATTTCTCTCACTTTCAATCATGTCTCTGTTTTATTTCGAAGAGTAAGACCCGTCTCCGTGCCGGTCGTCCAGTTTGTCCGGTCCAATGGGTCATTTGCTGCCGCTCGTGCGGTGCCCGTGGCGGAGGATGTTGAATCTGCCGAGCAAAAGGAGCGAGTTGGGAAGAAGGGATTTCAGCTCCTGGGCAACAAGGAGAAGAAGGAGCTGCGGGCGTTTGCCCACTCGTTAGGAAAAGACATCAACGTGCAGCAGGTGCATATGTGTGTAACTCGCTTGCCTGCAGCCCTCTAATAAGCTAGCGGTAACACTATTTTGCTCTTTGTTCCCGCATGTGTGCTCGTTTGTCTTCAGTTGTGTATTTTATTGGCTGTCGGACAATGTCGACACCTCTGGGTCATTTCTGCCCCGAAGTATATGACATTTATGTTACAGGACCTGGTTTGCCCTTCTATGGTCAGACTGGATGGTTCTGCTGGTTTTTTATTCTGCCAGTGCTTTGCTGTCAATTACAATGTGCGTTCAGTACATTTTGTTATCTGGATACGCTGTGTAAAGCAGGGTTAGTATGGTCGAATACTTGAAGACGGATTGTGGAATGAGTAAGCGCATCAGCTCCGGCTTGGATGCGCACAGACGATTTTAAATCGCAATCTAAATCTTTTGCATCGATTCGCTGTCCTTAGGTTATGGGGTAGGATCCGTTTAGGGCGTTCAGCCTTTACCTTTCTAATTCCACTTATATTTACCCTGTCGACGACTCATCAGTACTGTAGTTCCCCATTCGTCATATGCGTTCCATATTGGAACACTCAGACGAGTATAGGCCCCCACAACCTCGAAACTTGTATCGTGTGTACGGTGAGCTGATTTCTATGATGACAATATACGTGCTGTAAGGCCTAGTGCCAATGTCGGTTCACAACCTCTAAGAAGCACTGAGAAATCTGGTTCATACCTTGCCGTACTCCTACAAGAAACTCTCATGACACCATCAATCGCGGTGGGTGATTGTATATCACACAAGGGTTTGGTGTGCCTGAGGATTTAGGCCAACCGTTCCTCCCAGTTAAGTTAGCACTTTCATGTATCATTCTGCCAGCATTACCGAGGGATACCAGGTTTTATCATTTAGGGTCTATCATTTGTCATGCAGCTGTTATATTGTTGTTTCAGCAATGTGACTATTTTGTTGCCGCTCCTTCAAGTGGAGAGAACCCTTAAGCTCAGCGGGTAATGCATTTTTGGTGTACACAAGGGATCTGCAGCAGATGCCGCTTCAACAACCATCCCCCCCTAACGAGGGGGCACGAAGCAGTCGTGCTCCGTGTTCTTTCGTTGAGGCGGAGGTGGTTGTTTTTGCCGAATCAACCACCGTGCCGAACTGACTGACCACCAGCCAGATTGCGCAGCCCTCTATTTATTCACTCTGTTCTAAGAACCGTGGAAAGGGCTCCAACTACATACGTCTTATAATACTGAACCGAAACCCAGCAGGACTAACAGTTTGGCGATTGGATTTCAATGATGATATATACTGTGCTGGAAGGCTGAAGCCAGTGTCTGAACACAACCCTCTAAGAAGCACTGAGAAATTACGCCTATTTCCTGCTAGGACGTGTACACACTGCTTTTCGGAGCGTTTTTGGGGGACCCTCCTGTTTGAATGCTAGTGTCCTGATTGGTTAGTCCTCGTCAGCGGGTGCCCCTTTGAGTCGTTCTATGTTCTTGGAGCCATTATCTCCTTTGGCGCATGTTGTAGCCATGAGCCATGCCGGAGATGTCGAGTAGAATGCTTTAATCTCCTGCTGTGAAGCGAGTATGTTGAACGGGATTTCATTGATGATAATCTTCTGTGCTGGAAGGCCTAGTGCCAGTGTCTGTACACAACCCTCTAAGAAGCACTGAGAAATCATATCCATCTTTAGCTCAACTGGTAGAATGCGACGTGGTAACTCTCAGAATTCTATACGTGGGCCAGGCGTGCGAGGCCTAGAACAAGTGCCTTTTTTGCTTGAATTATGCTCCTGCTTCTCCCTCTGGCAATATGCTCTGCGTGGACCTGTGCAGCTTTTCCGAATGACCTTTCTGTTAATGATGCAGTCACTCTGTTCCCGCCGTAAGATCTTGCAGTGATTGCTTACCCGTAGCTTTGAAAATTTTGCAGGTAGGAAAGCTTGGCATCACCCCGACTGTCATTACATCTATCAGTGATGCTTTGGAAGCGAATGAGATCATCAAGGTTTTTCTTCTCGCACCATTCCTTCTAATTACTGTTGGTAACTCTCATTAATTATGACGTACACTAAGTGCGATCGCGGTGTCTAAACGAAGATGATGATCTTTTCGTTGTTGCTCCTCACTCAGTATCATTCAACTTGTTCGTAGGGGTGAGAATGAGAATGAGTCCGAATATAAAGATTTGTTTCGGATTAAACGTAAAGCGAACTTTGCAATGAAACCTTTATTTCGGGTCCAACTAGAGCGTGTTGTCTATAGTCTGGAAGTTCTGAGAAAAAGCGGGGACAAACCAGTACTATATCTATATTACATAAGCAGTATGATATCACATGTCTCACGTTACTCTTTGTAAATCCGACAATGTTGATGACGATGACCCCTGCTCATAGCGCTTAGTACATCACCCACTAGGAGGTTTCTGTAAGTCTTCTTGACTCACTTGACCTATATTTCAGGTCAAAGTGTTGGAGAACTGCTCTAGTGAGCAAGATGAGATCATTGCGCTACTCGAAGATAGCACAGGAGCACAAACGGTGGGCAAAATTGGTCGCACATTACTATTGTATAGAGCGAGTCTGAAGAAGCTAGCGGCCACTGAAAAGAAGGCTGAGAAGCCTAAGAGACGAAGCCGAATTGCCATGTCAGCCGGACGGGTAAGTTTCTAGAGTGTCTTTTTGTTCATTGATTAATACTGATGAATATAATGGAGAGGAGTAGTACAGACCGTTGATATTTTCTATTTCCACACGATCTCTCAATCAACGTGCGATATGAGTTTGAACACCTGAGACTGGTCGTATAGTGTCTCTATCGTATCTAACGCCCTGTCACTTTGTTAATCGCAGAGTACCGTGAAGAGCAGGCGGTCAGCTCAGTAAAGCCCAACGCATGGCCTCTATGTATTGTATGAATACGAATGACATTCATCAAGCCCGTCCACTGCTAGGATTGTGATGACTTCAAGACGCAACCCCAGTTGGGTAGAAGAAGTCCTGCTCACGAGAAAGCCATTCCGTTTACTCTATAGTGTAGTCTTGTAGCTGTTTAGAATGATTATTGAAAAATTTGGAATGATGGTCTGGTGTAAACTTCATCATTTACAGTCAATTAGTCTAGAAAAATTACTGACGTTCCGAATCTACTAGAGAAAGTAGACACCCCCATTCAGTCATTTGACAGTGTATCTTTATTAGGTAAATACGGGCATCTTGTGCAAAGTCTGGTCAGTGTTCTGATTAAATTCTTTAGCGAAGAAGACTGAACCTTACCAGTTACTGAACCTTACATTATATACCCAAACTTTGAGACTCGCATTAATCTGTTCAGATGTACTGCGTGAGGAATAAAATGAGGAACATCGCTGACTATCTTGACACTCTGAAATCTTGTACTGATTAACTTGTGGTGCGTGGTTTTAGACTCGCATGTTTCTTGGGGGTTTCACCAAATGTAATGAAAAGTTACAAATTTCATCGTTGTCCACTTTGTATGACCAATCCTGAGACCAATTGACCGTCTTCGCTTTATCTACGTAAACGTGCCGATCGTGAAATTGAACTTGATATGAATGAAGTATATCAATGCTGTATCGCAAGCCCTTTCGATTGGGCTGACGTGAGTAGGTGAAAAATTTGATAATGCAATCATTCAATGTTGCTGACATGAAATGTGAAGTGCAGTAAAGGTCTCAGTAGCTACGTGTTAGATATACGCCAATGATTTTACTGGATGGTACTCTCTCCTCCCCGACATTGTAATCAAAGATTCATAATCCGTTTCCGTCTACCCTAAAAGCAAAACTATGTTATCGAAGTATAGTGAAGGGGTTTTTTTGAAATTTATTTATGCCTCGTCCCTGACATATTGCTATAATGTCGATACATATCTTTATGGAAGCTTTGTTAAAGTATTCACAGAAATGTTCTAAACATCAGTTGACAGTTGGCATAATCTCCTGCCAATCAACATTGTGATCAATAACTACTTGATGAGAAATATATGGAAAGAACATTCACAATAATGTCACCAAATTATCGTTACAGTTTTTGAACCTTTAGAAAAGGGTTAAGCTCCTTCTCCCTCTAAATTTTTTGATTTTTGAAAGTCAGAAAGTGAACTGAAATCTCTTGCACTAAACTTACTCTTATTCTATATCCACTTCACCAAATTAATGTTTCCCATAACTATTACGTCTACAACTCGAAAAATCTTAATTGAATTATCAGTTAAATCTATTCTCGGGATAAATCTGAAAGAGAAAACAATCTTCTAATTTCAATATGTGATTAAAATATATATACTTTTGTCAAAAAACAATTTCCATTTTCCAGCATAACATAACAGTCGAAAAGGAAGAAGAATGTATGTTTATAATAAAAAGACTCAGTTTATTTTAATCATCCCTTACCCTATATAAATCATTTAAAAAATGAAATCTGTGTTTGGTCGGAAATGCTCAATTCAAAACGGTCATGCTTGCTCCGTCCAATGTGTTGCCACTGCGCAACACATTGGACGTTGAGTTATTGGCAGAACAAATTTATGCTTTGAGTCACAATTAAGTTGTAATGATTAAGCAAAGATCCTAATGCGCAACACGCTGGACGCTGAGTTATTGGCAGAGCAAATTTATGCTGTGAGTAACAATTAAGTCGTAATGATTAAGCAAAGATGTAGGATTGTTAACAAATTACTCTATCTTGTGTGTGGAACAAACAAGTTATATATGAAGATACTTGCCAGCGCAAGGCAACTAGCACTCGCTTGAATAAAGTGAGTGATAATTAACACAAACTAGGGACAACTGGCTGTTTCCAAACAATATTAGTGACTGAAGTGGGCAAAACAGATCATTACTTGAATTGAAGCATTGCATATTTAAATACAACAATTATTAATTAATTTACTCATATCTCTGCACAATTCCATGCAATTGCATCATAAAAGTAACTGTTTGGATGATTGAAATTATACCCAACCATCATCCTTATATGTGATTTTCCTCAGTTAAATTTTGATTTGCTTTGGAAAATGATGTGATTGGAATTATACTTTTGATCTTGTGAAATGTTTATCTTTTGATTATTGAACATCTTTACATTTTACAAAAAATATTTCTTACCAAATTAATAAATAACAAATATCATTTAATGAAAATTTCTAAGTTCTATATACAATATTTAAGAAAGCTTTTTATATCAACAGTAAAAGATAATTAAAGTTATGTTTCACATATTTCATTTTTTGAATTGATAAAAATAAAGATTATTGATAAGCTGTACACTCATATATTCTTTGCATACACCTAACGCTAATTTCGGAGAGTAAATTAGTTGATGGAACCTTGGAAACTCGATACTTGAAGGGACCCATCTGGTTTCATTTTACCCCATGGAACCATTCGAGGGCCACCATGTTCTTATAACCTACTGAATTGTTCCATAGAGTTGGGAGTGTCCGCCATTGTCGGACGAGAGTATTCTGGCGACTAGTTCGTAACCATGTCTAAGAAAACGAAGGGCACCATGAGTCTGAATAATTCTGGATATGGTCTTGGCGTGATTTCATATTCTACTCAAAATAACCGTAGATAGTATTGGAACATTACACTGCAGTGCCGTCATAAAATCGGATGGATAACATCAAGATTTTGAGTTTCCCGAAGTACCATCAAGTAATTTTCTCTAATTACACATGATGTGAAATTGAGTCTATTATTTCCAGATTGCCAAATGAGAATCATAATTGAGATTCCATGAAACTTTAGTCCACGTTCAAAGTCGGTGACAAAGTAGAATGCATGGCTTGAAAAGGTTAAACGTGACATGCCTGCCCAAGTACAACAGCGAATTCTATTTTGGGTGCTAGCCTCAAAGTACCCGATCGCTTGAATCCATTTAGGACCAGACGAGGTCTTCTGTGCCCCTTCCGAAAGGAGTGCGAGCCTCTTTCTATTCTCCAAAGGCGACTTCGATTCCGTGGGTAGGACAGACAGTACTCGTCGAATCTTTCACTTTTGGGGTTTCAGCGTGGAGCGCACTCTGAGCGTTGAAGCTGTACTGCACAGGACACTCGTATGGTACGAACCGTCGTCAAGGTTACCGAGCTCAAACCGCGACCACCTCCACGTCATTCATTACCTTGACTTTAATCCATTAAGGAAGACCCTCCATAAAGTTCAAGTCAGCCGCCGAGAAACGGTGTCAGTTCAGACTCGAGGCCACAACAGGGCTGCCGTTGCCGATTCCCCGCAGCCGTACTTTCGAGCGTCAAGGTCTACTCCGAATAGGCGGACTTAGGATCTACGACCATACGGACATTCTCACAACCGCGGCCCTTGTCAGAACCGGCCGAGCGTGAAAGCGTGTACTGAGTGTCGGACTTCTGCATGCGAGTCCGACCGTCGGATCGACAGATCGAAGACCCGCGGTCGATGTGATCCCGACGCTACGATCGTCGGAGGCAAAGTTTTCATCGTCGTCGCCGTCGCAAATAATTCCTGCTTTGAAGAAAATGGGGAAGCTTATAAATCGCGGGGAAAGGGGGAAATGAATAAATAATAATAATGCACCAACTCGGCCTTCGTTGCCACGCTTCCATTTAATGCCGGGGGAAAATGGAAAGTGTGTACGGGGTGGGGTCGAAATGGAAAGGGAGGAGGGAAAGCGGCCGTAACGGAAGCTACTAGACGTCTGGAACAAAGAAACGTGTAATGGGGTCACGGGCAGGGAAGCGAAAGGAAGCTGCTGTATCTGTTGGGCGGGCGACGGGTACCGCGCAAGAAGGGAGTTGGGAATCCGGGGACGGGCGGGGGCGAGGGACGGGAGGGCCGGCGCGGCGGGGCCGTCGGATGGCGATCGGACGGCGGGGAGGGGGGGCGGGGGAGCGGAGGCGGCCGTCCGATGGGGATCGGACGGAGGGGAGCGCGGAACAAAGTGACAGTAGAACGTCGAGGAAACGAGGTGCTCAGTGAGGCCGAAGAAGTTCGTTTTTGTCGAAGAATTGTGGAGTTGCGGAGGTGCGGGAGCAGCAGCCGAAGCGCAAAACGGACGCAAATGGAGAGGCGGGATGCGGGAGATTGATGAACAAACGAGCGCCGGCCAGACATAATAAAGGAGGCGAGCTCTGCAGGGGATGATGGCGAGCGGCCTTGCGGGAGCAGGGATCGGGGTCGGCGTCGGGGTGGTGGGCAGTGGCGAGGGCTTGAGGTTTAGGGATTTGGTGACAGGGGAGACTGGCGCCGGAGGCGCCAAGGGCGCTGCCGAGTGGACGGATGTGGCCGTCGCCACTTTCCTCGACTGCTTCGCCGAGAAGTATGCCGCCGTGAAGCACAAGAATTTGCGAGGCAAGGACTGGAAAGAGGTCGTGGATAATCTCAACAAACGCTGTGTGCCTGAGGGCGGCCCGTTCTTCGAGTACAAGCAATGTCGGAACAAGTTGGATGGTTTGAAGAAACGGTTTCGGCAAGAAAAGGAGAGCTTGAACGCCAATTCTCAGCCGAGCAAATGGCAGTGGTTTTCTCGTATGTGTGAATTGAAAGGTAAGAGGGCTCCCCGGGTCAACTCGTCCGCTGGAGTCGGAGCTGGCGTGGGTGTTGTTGGTGGCATCGCTCCTATCGGTGGAGTCGGTGGTATTGTTCCAGGTATAGTAGTTCCCTTGGAGAAATCAGAGTTGGACTTGACCGAAGGCGCGGACAATACTTCAGATAGTAAGGAACAGCCTGATGGTACAGATGGCTTGCCTGGGGGTCTCCCTGGTGATCTCCCCGATGGGGTTGGGACTCCCTTTTGCAGTCAGAATGAAGCCGATACTGCAAGTCCGAGGAGCAAGCCAAGAGCCGGTGTTGGCAAGAAAACTCGTAAGCGGAGGAGAAGTCATCTGCACACTCCATGTGCTCCTGAGCTCATGCCAGTCGGTCCGAACAAACAGCCGTTTTTGTGGCCCGGGTATGTTCTCTCACCCGCTTGAGGTGCGAAATCTCATCGTTTACAGGTAAAATCACAATGCATGGTGTTCGTATGTGGGCTGAGGGCACCTCATGGAGATCACTCCACTCGGAGAGTGGATCGTTGTGCATCAGAGCTCGAAAAGAGTGAACAATGACATGTCTGGAGAGGTAGGACACGAGAGCTCAAGATCATCGTACCTGCGTTATCGAGCGAAACCTGCAGCCAGGAGTTGGATATAATACATACGGTCGGTATTGGAGCTAAGACATAATTGGGTAGGGTTGAAAGCAACTAAAATGGGTTGTTGCTTTCAACCCAACCCATTTTAGCATCAACTTCCGTGGAATGAAAAATTCCTCTCATCGGGCTCGGACACAATCGATCGAAGCGAGAAATCTAAGTTCTTTTCGAACATTATCAACAAGTTTACATGATATGATGCCACCTTTGTTCCCGGATGACAGCCTTTACCCACCAAATCTAACCATCGATGATACAGTGCCATCCTACCAGTGCCGATGCTCGAAGCAATGGATATGGCACTGGTATTGCTGCTCACGGTATAGATTCGTGCCTTGTGTGAAAGGTCGGGTCTGCTGTGTTTTCATTGAATCGCTGGGTTTGGCACGATGTATTCGTTGTACGGGATACACGCTGTAGTCTGTCTGGCTCCGGATGAACTGTTAGGAACTATCACGTAGTTAGATGATCGATTCGACGGCGTTCAGTTCGAAAGGAATCGTGATGTCGATTGCGTGTAAACGACGAGATTCCTTTTCCCTGTGGCAGTCTCACGCCATGCACATGTCTGCCGGACGAGAATATTTTCGCAAGGTGCTGGTGTATTGTGTACTTCTTCTACAGGGGTTTCTGTTCGAATAATCAGCGGTTCCAAGTGTTTCACTTGGATACCAGTACCCTTTAGATTTGTCACTCCGTGTAGTATTGAGCACTTCAAGGCTGTGGGCTCGCTCCCTAGTTGGGCGGTGACTCTTATTACAAAGAAGTATTAAGTGCAAGGAACACGGGGAGGATCTTCTACAGTTATGATTTTACGGAGCTGCATAGCCAATAACACTTAATATAGGCGCCTCTCTTAGATGCAACTGTGAGTATGTGTTGTAGCTCTCATGCAGCACGCTGCTTCGTGCGGTGGGCTTCTTGGGAAATCGAGAGATTATTTCTACCCTATTGCATCGACATAGCTGCCAATGTGAGTATGTGATGTAGCTCGTATGCAGCACGCTGCTTCGTGTGGTGGGCTTCTTGGGAAATCGAGAGTTTATGTCTACCCTATTGCATCGTCTTAGCTGCAACTGTGAGTATGTGTTGTAGCTCGTATGCAGCACGCTGGTTCGTGCGGTGGTCTTCTTGGGAAATCGGGAGTTTATGCCTACCCTAATCCATCGACTCAGCGCATGGGTAGAAAATCCACGCTTGTTTCTGCCTAACCTCAACGCAAGAAGCCAAGAACTGAGTGGTCACCGGAGTCCTGCAATAGCCACCCATGCGCATGGCACAATAGGTAGGTAATGGACGGGTACGAGGAACCCGGGCTTTAAAACGACTGAGTTAGCAGATTATAGTGCGACTCGTCGTATAGTAGAAAGTAGTGATAGCTCGCGCTAATATAGCATGCGCCACGCTAATAGCTACTGAGCACACTGTGCTGATTAGCTATTAATTTTCACAAAACTGCCGTCAGTCTCCTTTTCTTGCTTTGTGCAAATTAGCTATTAATTTACGCGAGCCGTGCGGTCCACCCTGTGCATCCCAGCATCCAGCGCCATGTCCGAGAACAACGTCTCGGACGCCGGCAACACCCTGACCAAGAAGCGCAATCGACTGAAGCCCCGAACGGTAAACAATCTCATGTTCCTGCGCCTTAATCGTGACTTTTTATGTAACTGTTTACGGTAAAGCATTGGCACACCCTGACCAAGAAGCGCAATCGACTGAAGCCCCGAATGGTAAACAACCTGACGTTCCTGCGCCTTAACCGTGACCTTTGTAACTGTTTACAGTACATGATTGTAACGTCCTTCTTTTAAAAAAAACACTTCAAAGTACTCTTAAGTAGCTTTACTTTGGTGAGGGACTGATGGGTATGAGTTGGGTGGGTAATGGGTATGGACAAGGTGCCATGGGTGGGTACAGTTGACCGAGTGCAGCTGTGGGCCGGGTATGAGTAGAGTTGTTAAGCCCAATGCAGGATTGTGGTGATCACCTCATAAACTTTTCAGACTAAAAACCAAGAAAACGGCATTATTACGAAGGCGACCACAGACGTTTACGGGATCGTTGGAGTTGGATAAAATTGTCTCCCGGAGTCTCTTTTATCAGCGCACACACTATGACATGTACTATCCTGCCTCTTTGGAACTTAGTACGCAGGTGGTCTGCGTTCTCACGACTGAAACTCTGAGTCCTGGATGTGGCTTCATTGTGTGCTTGAAGTTCAGCCACCTCCGCATACCATTTATCAGTTGTACACGTGTTCTACGTTGAAAGATGGAGGTGTAGAAACGTTGTAGGCCTGGGTTGTAAGAGTCAGATTCTACTGGACAATTTTCTTGTTTACCGTCCGAAAAGATGACTTGAAGAGAGCTCAGTAATTGTGCATCAATCCATGCTAACGAAGTGAATGCTGCATATTGTATCAGATATGCGAACTGTGATCAGTGCCAAGAAACTGACTTGTATTTGTCTCTTTCAGAGATGCTGCTCAACGAAGGCCCGTGGCAACTGATCGGACTTATAAGCTGAAGATCAAACGATCTGGAGAAGAGGATTTCGATGATCTTTTCCACCTAACTGGAGATACAGTGCAGGATTTGATCGACAGCTTTAAGTCGGTATACTGGGAAGAAGAAAATACACAGGTTCGTGTACAATTGAAGGACAAGGTTTCGGACGCCTGGGTTACCGTAGCTCCTTCTGTGTCACTTTCCCAATACGGAATTGAAGCACAAATTATTATCAAACCTCAAGGAAGCCGGGTTCTTGGATACCCAGCAATTCCCCTGACAGGTTATTTTCTATCATTATCTGCTTTGATCTTTTTGCGATTGTAAGCCAAGACAAGCAGAGCTTGCCACTTGAAGTTGAGTTAAGACGTTTTGCAGATGAGAAGGACAGAACGCCTGTTCATCGCGCAGTAGGAGTCGTGTTTTGACGCTTGTTTATATATGTCCGTCTGTTGACACGCGACTACTTTCTGTGTTGACTATAGTATGTAGATTTCTTCTCTGAATACGCAGAACCTAAGCTAGCACATGTCTTCCTCAGCTCCTTCGTGGTAGTTTTAAAGAGTTTCGTTCACTAATATAGTTATTTGTTTCGATTTTTCTCACTTTTCTCATCGTCGTCTGCACTTTTTGTCTTTTTCAACAACTACGTAAACATAGTCGAACTCTTTCATCTGATCAGACAGCATCGTAGTAGGGTACAAGTCAGTTTTGCATGCGAATCGCTTCTGTTACTAACCCGCTGGTAAAATTGGAACTTCAGCTTATCAGCCCACCTCTTAATGTCGATCTTAGCCCTGCCTGCTCGTGTTGAGTACTTGTACCCAGATCTTGCTACACAAATACATGTGACGATCAACCAATATTTGGCTGCACTTATGAGGGAAAAGTATGTGAAATGGTTAGAACTGTCTCACAGGCTCCTTACGAAAAGTTGAGTCTAATAGTTACTTTGAAGTCCTGTTGGACAGTAACGCTGAAACCTGGCAGTTCTTTCGTCTTGCAGTGGGGCAGATGGTTTTGCCAGGTGTTTGACACCACGTTGCAATGATGAAGTTTTGACACTATTACTCCTTGGAGGTAAAATCTGCTTACTTGGTGAAATTTTTCAATAGCACTATGTAAGATCACTGTAGAAGGAAGCTAGGGCCAACAGTTTCCTGTGGCATATAGGTAAATGTAGCACCCAGCAGGAGTTATTATCTTTCTTAACTGATAAACTGATTTTGGTGACTTGGTTGCAGAGGAGCAGACATGTAATGGAGTTGAACAGGATATGCTGTGACCTCCTCTATTAAATATGAGTAAGTAAAATCTTGATACGCGTCCTCCCTGCTGTGGCCGTCCCTGGTAGAGGAAGCCACTGACATGTCTTTGATATTTTCAGTTCGTCTCGTCTGTAATCAATGTGCAGTTAACTATGAAATCTGAGTATCTGAATTTGTTGATATAGAAACAATTTTCAAACCTTGACTTTTGTCTGAAATAGGATCTCCACGTACAGGTAGATATCACACATGTGCCACCATACCTTTTACATGTGAAACGTACGAGCCTACGTCCCATGTCAAAATTATAGGAGTTTTCCTTCACAAAGGTTCAGAGGATTAGAAGATAAAATTCACTCTAGTTATTCACCTTCTCTGTTTTAGCTCGCGATTTTCTTCTGTAATTGCGCTGCCGTCATCGCCTCCTTTGACTAGGCGAGTTTCCTGCACTAGTTTATGGCTAAGCATCACTGGCCGCTCACTTGCAACTCCCATCTTTCCTCTCTCCCAATCGCGCCATTTACAGGTGTCAGGCAGGAGTAAATACGGAGTTCTATGTTCAGCGGAGTCAGAGGGAGTAACTGACCTGCCGGTACTCTTGCAGAGCCCAAGATCGTCGAGTGACCGGTGTAGCCCGAAGAATGGCACGGGTTTCAACAAGCTCAACATTCAATTGAAGTTCGTGAAACCGAGCGTCCGTCGGCTCCTCTAGGTTTGAGGTTGATAGTTTTCTATCTGCCTGCCCACAAGAACGGAAGTGTGTACCGCAAGGATCTTCCAGTTTAAATGCAGTAGATTTTCACCGTGAATCACTGGAGAGTAAGTTTGAAAGTCTCTCCATTTTTTGAATAGAGGTCAAAGCAGGAGCTGCGTACTTCAATGTTAGTCAATGAACAGAGTTAGAGGTAGTGTGCACATTGCACAGAACACAGAATACAGTCAAGTTTAGGAAAGGGGCGACCAAGCTTCAGCAGATTTAAATGATGTCGTTGAGTCAATCAATTTTTGAAATGGAAACAGCACTTGCTGTCGCGGATCAACATGATACTTGGTTCTAGGCCTTGGCTATGTGTATCCATGTAAGAGTGTAGTCCTGCAAATCTCATTCGGGATTGTCACTTTTAATGGTGCATGTACCTTACCTTCGATTTTTGGTGTACGTCGTGTCCCTGTTATAGATTTCGAGTTGTTATTTGATTACACTACCTAGTGTCGTGTAGACGCTGCGCTTACTTCCACGAGAGGGAGCGTATACGGAAGTTTTGTTATGTCTGCGATCAGAGCACCATTTTGGGGCTGGTTGCTGACAGAATTGTGTGGGTGAATTCTGCTGAAGTCGAGAGTGCAGAGTTCCACATTGCAGTGTATCCTATCCCTTCATACCTCCATCTGAGTGTAGATGTTACTGAGAGTGATTGTCTAGACGATAGTCATGACCATATGTACCAGACACCATATGCATGTATTTTGGACGTCGAAAGAAGAAAGAAACGGTGAAAAATGACAAGTTCATCTCGGGAGCTTCCAGAACAACTTGTAATCATTTTAAGAAAATGATGCTAGCTGGAAGACTATCGTTAACAAAATGCAGTATGCATTTTGTTAACGATGCGCTTAACCCCGCGGTTAAGCGCTCTTGTCCCGGAATATGTCTGGGATGGAAAAGAAAAGAAAAGAAAAAGATTTTGCTAATGATAGTTTTGTTGAAGAGTCAGAAACGCAGACCATTTCCTAACTGGAGCAGGGAAGAGTTGTCAGTAAAGTAAAAGGCGCAAATCATCTGGAGCGGCGAAATTGCCGAAGTTTTAAAAAATCGCGAACCCTTATCAAACTGGTCAGTACCAAGTTGAAAAGAGTGTACATGAGGTCCAGACAGTGATTGTGTTAATTACCTGCATACTTGAATTTCTGCTCTTGGGCCAATCGGAAGTAAGTGATGTCTAAGGGTCATCTTTTGTACCATATAAAGTCATTCCAAAAAAGAAGCCAGTGACCGGATACAGTGCAAAGTCATCATCATATATAGACAGAATTAATCTACGTTGTAGCAGATGCGCATGTCAGAGTCGCGGCTGTCTAACTTATCACAGGTAATCTTAAGATCTTCGAATGCAATGTGGAATAAGGTTGCACGATATCGCCAGGTTGCATTAGGGGCGGTCCTACGGCATTGGATATACCTGTTTCCACGCGCATTCCTTTAGTACATGTGAATTAAATTAGTACTAAAGAGGGCGATTGAGCCTAGGATTTTATCTACAATCCAATAGAAAATTTTCCAGAAAGTTTGTACATGATATTTTACTTATTCAAGGATATGACTCTTTAAATTTTTTACATATCCTGCTTTTTAATTTCACAGGTTATCTATGATTAGAAATAGCTGCAAAGTGGTTTACTCGGGAATTGAAGGTCTTGATTATTAATTAAGCCTCATATATGTAGTGGATATATATGACTTAAGAGATGAAATATTCTGTTTTCATTTAACTTGTGCATGATTAAAGAACGAAGGAAACATTAGAATCAGACATATGATTCTTAGTTTCTTAATCCTACCCTCGTTAAATAAAAACATAATATCTCCAATCTTAAGGCAGATACATAAAGAACTCACTCAATACACCTTCATTCATTTTCATGTCCACACTTTGTTCACTCTCCATCACTCCGCTCTTCGCCACGCCATCCAAAGGCTGATGGAATCACGTGGAGTATAGCAAGACCTTTCCAATGTTATTGTTTCTGACAAACGCAGGTCTGGTAATGGATATATATGACTTAAGAGCTGAAATATTATGTTTTCGTTTAACCTGTGCAGGATTAAAGAACGAAGGAAACATTAGAATCACACATATGATTCTTAGTTTCTTAATCCTATCCTGGTTAAATAAAAACATAACATCTCCATTCTTAAGGCAGACATATAAAGAACTCACTCAATACACCTTCATTCATTTTCATGTCCACACTTTGTTCACTCTCCAGGACTCTGCTCTCCGCCACGCCATCCAAAGGCTGATGGAGTCACGTGGAGTATAGCAAGATCTTTTCAATGTTATTGTTTCTGACAAACGCAGGTCTGGTAGTGGATATATATGACTTAAGAGCTGAAATATTATGTTTTCGTTTAACCTGTGCAGGATTAAAGAAAAGAGGAAACATTCGAATCACACATATGATTCTTAGTTTCTTAATCCTATCCTGGTTAAATAAAAACATAACATCTCCATTCTTAAGGCAGACATATAAAGAACTCACTCTATACACCTTAATTCATTTTCATGTCCACACTTTGTTCACTCTCCAGCACTCTACTCTCCGCCACGCCATCCAAAGGCTGATGGAGTCACGTGGAGTATAGCAAGACCTTCCCAATGTTCTTGTTTCTGACAAACGCAGGTCTGGAAGAGAAGAGTCGGTCCACCGTCAAATCGAACTTGTGCAAGAAGCGTGTGGATACCGTCAAACTTGTCTCCTTCGTAAAAGCACTGATTGGCGCCCCATCATCATCATCATCCGCACCATGTCAGCAGAGTTTGGAAGACGGTGTCGAAGAGTTGAATCCAAGAAACCTTGAGACGCGTCCTCTCTTCTTGCTACGGAAGGACCCTCCATAAGAACAGTCCTGGACAATTTGTAGAGCGTGGATTCCCGCAAGGTCATCTCAAAGGCTTGCTGCAAAAATTCGTCAATATCTGCAGATCACAAGAAAGTGCTTTTAACCGCTTGCTTGAAGCTCAAACCACAGAGAGCTTCGCAGGATTGGATTCGTGCAAGTTTCACAAAAGTAAAGACCTGCAATTCTCCACGACAAACATTCCTTTGCGAAACCTTCAAACGACTCTGCAGCAGCCTCTCAGCACTCTCATGAATTTCCCAAGTCAGTATTTCAAGACTCTTGATCAGCCGGCCTCAAGTCAATATTACTCAAAATTGCAAAAACCCGAAAACAATTGCAAAAGAACAAAAAAAACCAAAACAAAAAACAACCAAACATCTCACTAACGAGACCCCGGGATGGCAATCATTGATGCCGACGCAGAGAACGTCGATGGAAACTCGGGGGTCGCCTCCGACACGAATTGGAGGAGAAGTCGGAGAAGATGGAGGAGGAAGCTTCAAAGAGCCATCTCTTAAACTCATGAGGCCGCCCACCGGCGATGATTGACCGGATCAAGACCGTAACGCATGGAAGTCAAGCACCGCCGCGGACCGGCTACCCGCCGTGGCGGTCGCCCGCGCGCCTGGCGCCGGACGCTTGTGTGTCAGTCGGAGAGCGCAGCGAGCCAGCGAGCGAGAGAAAGAGAGATGAGAACTGATTTCCTCGGAGAGGCTCGGGCTCGGGCTCGGGCTCCGGGACGGGACGGGACGGGGCGGGGCAGCGGGAGGAGAGGAGGGAGCCATAATTAGACGGCGGGTCTAATTCGGGGCCCAGATCCGGACGCAGCGACGGGAAGGCTCGGGGCATTTGTGGATCGGGAGCGGGCGATGGGGCCTTGGCTTTGACGCAACTCCGATGCTGTGCAGTCGATTGAGGTCGATGGTTTGTGGGGCTTGGTCGAATGGGGAATTGGCGAGGATGGATGGCTGGACGAGCAGGCACAGGCAGACGGGGCGGCGAACGAGGGAGTGAATGAAGCAGGAATTTGATTGGCGGGTGTGCGGTTCTGGTTGATGATTGTTGCGGCCGCGGGAGCAGTTCGGCTCGATCGTTAGAGAATTGGATTCGTGCGGTTGGATTGGTTGGCGTGGTGCTCGTTTGCGCTGCTGCTGATGAGCGACTGACTGACTGGTGACGGTGGAGGACGGATTTCCCTCTGGCAGGACTAGGGAGCGCATTTGAAGTCTGCCACGATGAAGCGCGTTTTCGGAGTGAAGAAGGAGAAAGCTCCTGTTCCGACGGTCGAGGAGGCCACTGAGCGCGTACGCTTCTTATTATGCCTTTGCTGTTGCTTGTTGCTTGCTCTTCCGCTGCGTCCTCATACGACTGAATAATTGTGCTTGGCGACCGCTTCGTTGTCTGGTGCTGCATCGCTCTTCATTTCGGGCGTAAGCTGCTTTATTTTGCAAGATCTGTTCCTCTGGAAGTTCTCGTAGGCGCTGCCGAGAGGCTTCTCCTTCGCCATTACATGAAGAAGGTTCCACTGTTTCATTTGGGTGGCCGGATTTTGTCGATGGCCTGGCTTCTGGGTGACTGTGACTTTCATTTATCCTACACGGGAAGCCTCTCCTGTTTTATGCTTTCGCAAGGAGGGCGAGAATTGGCCCAGTAGTAACCACGTTCTTCACGGAGTTGAAAATGTGCAAAATGTGCTATTGGGGGCGGTGATCACAGTCCATTATAATGGACTGAGAACAGAACCAGGCCGATCAATTCGCCCCTCCTTTGTAAATTAAGACCATCGGGGATGAAAGATTCTGCCGAAGAAAGAGCCGAAGATATACCTGGCCAAGGATAGGAAAAACAGATGTGCGAATGAGAAGTATTTACTTTTTTTTTAACATCATAAAATTGTGCCTCGGGGCTCATCATAGAGTTGAGAGCCGAACTGGAAGTCACTCCTTTCTGCCAAAGAATTCCATCGGCACAATCTAGTCATGAATTGTCTCTCCATGAATATGATTTCTCGTCTTTCGACGCCTGACAGCAGTCAAGCACTAGATCCTTGGTATCATTAACTTCCATGTGATGACTTTAAGTGTGAAGATTTTATCAATGATCTCTTCACTGATTCAGGTAGTATCAATCACACATTGCAGGTCCTGAAAAAGTCCCTTATGTCGAATTCTGTGTCTTAATTTTCACTGTTTCAACTGTGAGCTATAAAAGTGGACGACTTAGCAGATGTATTGTCAACGCAGATGAACAAGAGAGGAGACAATGTTGATGAGAAGATCAGGAAACTAGATGCAGAGCTTGTCAAGTACCGAGAACAAATCAAGAGGACGAGGCCTGGGCCTGCACAAGAAGCTGTGAAGGCTAGGGCCATGCGAATTCTTAAGCAAAAAAAGATGTAAGTCATGCGCTGTTTTGTTTTAGATGATGTTACAAATCTGCATTTGCTTTGCACATGCCTCCAAATTCGCCCTTGTTTAAGATCAGAGAGTAGATAGAACTTAAGAAAGCGATGCCCGCCCTCTTGCGTTTTGTGCTCGCAAAAACCTGGTCCTTTATTGCATGTCAAGATTGACTTTGACTGTGACTTACCTAGTCAGTTTCCAGTCCGATTGCATACAGGATTTACTTGCCATGTCATACTCGTAAAACATTGTTCCCAATATATGTTGCTTAAAGAAGTTTGATTGGTATTGTCCTCTTTTGAGCTATCCTGTCGACTAATAGCACTAAGTATTCCTGAATCCGCGTTTATTTGATTGGCTTTTGGATCAAGAAGAAATCGTGTGTTTTATACCATGCATGTGGGAATTACAATGATTTATGGAGTTATGCCTTACTGTGAAGCACCATCAGGTTTTAGAATGGATGATTCCGCCGAGGAATATATTTTGAAGTCACCGATATGTTCAAACTTTATATCTATATATATTTTTGACACCAAGATTGCCTCTCGTTTCTTAATCCTTCCCTGCTGAGTCTGTGAGCTCGTGAGGAACTAAGATGCTGAAGTGAGGTTGCACTCTCTCACGTCCTCTCAATGTGTAGAGTATATGTTAAAGATATTTTATGTTAACAGTTACAGATGTCGCAGTAGGTATGAGGCTTGACTTTTATGGGACTTCCATTTACCATCCTTCTCCAGTTTCTATTCATGCTTTCCCTCTATTTTTTCCATTTCACAAGATGACGAGTCTCTTGATCCTAACGGCCATGAGCCCATTTTTTTTGAATTAGATCGCCACAGCACTCATTTTACTAACCGCGTTATTCCATAGCCAATCCATTGCCTCAAGGAGCACGTGGAGGATATATAAGCTTGTATAGCTAACCTTGCTATGTGATGACATATGATATCCTTAGGTATGAAGGACAACGTGATCAGCTTTACAGTCAAACCTTCAACCTCGAGCAAGTGTCTTTTGCAACAGAAGGAATCAAAGATGCTCAGCAGACTGTGAGTTTTTATTCGATTTCCTGTTTATTCTAGCTGATTGGTTTTACCGTGTAGTTCGTGTTGTGAGTAGATCAGACCATCTTCAAATACTCAGGACCAATACAAAGACTTCTAGCACTCAATTGATAGCCTCGTTCATGTGATGAAATTTTTAGCCTTCTTGTGAGATCATATTGTAGTTGCGTAATGTCGTGGAAATGCCAAGACCTTGTGGTCTTTTTTCCTGTTGTTTTTGATGGATAACTTTCTGGAATTTTCTCAGATGTCAGCTATGAAAGCGGCCAACAAGGAGCTCAAGGGAACAATGAAGACCTTGAAGATAGATGATATCGATGTATGTTGCCCGATATGCCCTTCCCGACCGTTTATAACCTATGTTGGCCTCGAGCCGTTTCGGAATATTTGCTAAAATTTGCTAAAATTTGCTTACTGCAGAAAATGCAAGATGAAATGATGGATTTGGTGGATTATAGCAACGAAATTCAAGAGTCTTTAGGGCGCAGTTACAGTGTTCCAGACGACATCGACGAGGATGAGCTGATGGGAGGTAAGGCCCAGATCCTAGCCATCTTTCATTGTAAGGCCAAGCTTCGAGAGGAGCTAACCCCAGAATATGAATTTTATATTGACGAATCCTTACTACTAAGCATGAGGAAAGCTGCTCCGTTCTCCGGCTAGATAACATATAACGAATCCAGAAAAGCGAATTAGCAGTTAGTTCACAATAACTCCACTCGTATATCTTCTCCTTTCAGTGCAAATCAGTCACCTGACTTGTTCTCTGGGGTACTTGGGCAGAACTTGCGGCATTGGAAGAGGACATGGGAAGTGAAGAAGTTTCTGATGGTGTACCAGCTTACTTACAACCTGACAAAGAGTTTGAGCACGAGCCGGAATTGAACCTACCTTCGGCACCCTCAGGGCAGACTGCCCAGCATCAGGCTGCCAGTGCACAGGTTTGCATTTTCATTAACGCTTCTTGGGTATTTCTTTTCCTGTCAGCAGTGACAGTTGTGCTGCATTTGCCCGTCTCTTTCTGGGTGTTATATAACATCAAGAAAGTGGGCAATCAAGACTCGGGCGTATACGGATCGAACTTGCGCAGGTCTTAAAGTACCATGTTTTGTTTGTTCTTGACTGTGTGGAACTGCTGGATTGCTTATTTCTTTGTCTTTCATGCAGAGCTTGGTAAGCTGGAAGGTACGGTACAGTATCTCGTCATGAACATCCCATGAGGTCCACCATTTGCCACAGTTGTTGTCTCGTTCCTCCCATGGAACGGAAGAAGAACGAAGCATATGCATACTAACATGGAACTTTGTTCCTGACAGCGGGCTTGATTGTGATCCACAGGGTGCAGTGGACGAATACGGCTTTCCCGCGGCACCGAGGGCTTCAGTTCGGACATGAGCAACATCACGGCGCACGTTGCTTTCAACCGGCTCACACTACTGAAGTACGGGCGGCTGCATGATATCTGATGTGGACCCCAAGTACCAACACAGTTTCTTCGCTCTCGATGAGTACAAACTTTCTTACAAGCTGATTGTGCCGAGAGAAGCTCAGGGAGGAATCCTTGTGCATAGAGCATGCAATACAGTTCACGCATGACAAGGGGTTCCCTCAATGTAGTGTTGCGTTTGTATATAAATGCGTTGCTTAATATTATTTGGTCCTATCTCAGAGGTGTACCCTAATTGTTCAAGATCCTCTTAAGAGCAATGTTCGAAGATACATTTGCGAGTGAGAGGGCAAATCCAGCCCAGCAACTTTAGAAAAGTTCGCACTGATTTGGGTAGGTACTATTCTTTATCAAAAAGAATGAAGGTGATTGAGTCTGAATTTGTGGGAGCCCACTGTAATCAAGGGTATCAATTGGTTGTTGTCCAATAAACTTATCGAAGTCTTGGGCACTTTTGCCTAAATAAAAGTGGAATGTCATCGGTGTCGTTCAAACAAGCAATGATTGAAATGGAGAACTTGCTTTGTGATGATTCATAGTCTGCGTTGTCTCCTGCCCTCTGCAAACTCTGCTGTATGGATTTGTCTATTGCGTCTATACTAGTGCAGACAGATGTTGGAGCTTTTTTCAGCACCTGAATATTGGAAAGAAAATGAAAGCCGAAACAATATATAAATGTGGATGTGCACATGATTTGAAGTTTGGACCGATTGGTGCAAAAACTCAAAGTTGGAGACAGGAATGTTCCCATCATAACGTAGAAAGGACTGCCTAATGTGCCTTATGAGAAAATTCATTGCAATGTACCGACGTTTGAACGGCGTAATACTTTATAAGTTGAGTCAAGTACACGCAGGAGAGCTGTGGTCAAAATGATCACACCCTCCGCGGAGGGAGTTCTGCTCCTCACGAGGAGTAGTATCCGTTATTTTGATTGCAGATGGCAGAAGTTCTTGGTCTACGGTAAAGCATCATTCGCTCCGCCTCATGAACAAGATCATCTCAACTTGCACAGCCACTAACACTCTACCTCCAGTCCACGGAATCTCCGAGTCGACTGACTAGCGCATCTGCGAATTTCTGCTGCCTGCGAGCATCGGTTGGATCAGATAGACAGTAACTGCACCATTTCTCTGCATCGAGCGTGCAGAAAGATTAGGGATCAAAATTGCAAATAGCTAGTATAATATCACTTACTTCTTCTCCGTGAGCTTGATACTGGGCCGATAATATTTTAAGTAGCCATCCCAGGGAACCTTTTTGATTCCAGCTCTGTTTGCTATCATCTCACGTACCCTGCAGGTTCCGGGTCTCAGAACCCAATTCGACACGAAGAAGCCAGTGCTTTATAATTCTCACAAGTGTTACAACAAGCTGATGACCCTCATCCACTCGCTTACCTTTCGGCGAACTCTATTGGGGTCTCTCCAAGTTTCAGGGTCTGCGGTTCGAGGTACCATACGTCACACACTACAGCCCACGAGGTCATGAGCCCTATCAGGTGCATCGTGAAGGATTGCCTGCAAGACAGATGCCCGTCAGCTTCGATTCGATGCAGCGAATCGATTACAATCTACATATCCATTCATTTCAAACGTTTTCCAGCTGCAATGTGAGAAGCACTCCTTTTCACACTGGCTGATGCAATCATTCATTCATCATACAAGGTACGTAATGAGGACACAACTTCTTACTTCTTGCTGTTCCAAAACGCATCGACAAATATTTTGTTGTACTTTATGGCGATCGGACACACAGTGCAGTCCAGTTCAAAAGCGCCCTGCAGCAGCACCAGGAAGATCATACGATGTGACAGGCAAGTGTTAGAAACTCGGACAGGGAGCCGACTGAACAGCAAGGAGTTGGACACATGATTGGCGTGAGATCCGAGCACATGAAATTTGCATGAAATCTGTTGTTGTGTACTCGAGCTATGGTTACCTTTTTGAACATCACTGTGTACTCGTTGTTGACGCACGTTCCTTCTGGAAATATCAGCAAAGGGTTGCTGTCCTCGCATTCTACATGCCGCTTGAGCCTGCACCGACCACAGCCAGGATGGAGGAGGAGCGAAGAGATTGAGGACACAGCTAGAGATCTGGCAGACCGATGAAGAAGAAACCTTCACGACCGTGACAGACAGACAGACAGACAGACAGACAGACAGAAGTCCCATGATTCCAAGACTTACTTCTGCGCAACAATCGATCTGTCCTTGGACTCGGTGCGGTCGAACCATATGCAGCCCAGGCTTTCCAAAACAGTAGTCTGCAGAAGACCTGCGGCCATGGGATACACAACATCAACTTTGCATCCCCTTCTGCATCGTTTCAAGCACATTCGCATAAGAGGAAGAGCAATCAAGCATGAACGTTGTTCGAGAGGCTTACCAACCCATCCGGGATGCTTCTGCATGATGACAGCAAACGCCGTCATTTGCTCCAAGATGATGAAGTCAATCATGGACGTATGATTTGCTACAAAGATCTGCACGCTCAGACGTGTCACAAGGTTCAGACTTATGAGTTACAGAGATGCAATTTCTGTTTTTCAGACATGAACCAGGTACACATTCAGAAGTTCAGGACATGACAGCATTCTATTTCATGGACTCAAGGCCATGGCCCGAGGTCTGAATAGGACAGAGGGAGCACCACAACATACCTGCTTGGCCCGTCGGCTCGGTCGCGGGCCGTGGTACCGAACAACGCCAGTCCATGACGCCACGAACACGCTGCAAATGAACTCCACTAAACCCCGCTGTCATAACCAGGATACCGATGGCAAAATGTCGCTTTGGTAAGCATGACGTTGCCTTCCTTCCACGCTGAAAACTTATGAAACTAATGGCGCAAAAAGCAGAGGAGCAGCTTCTGGAAATACGGAAAGCCAGTTCAACAATACACGGGTCGTACTTTCAAAACACTGTGCTTGCAATGGACACAAATCACTGTTCCTTACAGTCAAAACGAATGATAGCTGGGATTTCACATCCTTCGGATGCTTCTCGTATGTCGAGGTCTAGGCATGCGAATTTCACCAACTTTTGCAAGAAGCAGGACTTACTTCGATGGTTTTTCGTACTTCCTCATGGTTCTTGATACCGAAATGAACGGGGAGGAAGAGTCCGAGGAAGATTATCCATCCGAGGGTGAGGAGCACAAGTCTGTCAAAGCCTCGAGCGCTCGAGATATGGTCAGTATACATAATATCCATCAGTTCACATTTCTTTTTCATTCCACCTTATACTTTCTGTAGTCTTTAAAGGTTCTGAGTTTCCTATTTCACGGATTTAAAGAGGCGAATAAAGCTTGATGAACATAGTGACGACATATGATGAATGAATTCGGAGTAACCTGAGCACACCTGATAGGGAATAGAATACCGTATCTGACAATGACTCCAAGACACCAGAGTGGAAACAGGTATATGTTCCAGTTCCATGGTTCGGTTTGATTAGACTTGAAGCACCTGGTGAATGAATCCTGTTGTACCAAAGTCACATTAGAGAGACAGATCCCTTGACGGCTTTGGGCCACACATATGACCAAAAAAAAAAAGGATCACTGTCTACTATATATTCATTCTTAACATCAAGAAGCCCAGCCAGCTCTTGTAAGCACCGAGCTGAGGTTTAGAGGCGACAAAGCAAGCAGAATGTCTCTTCAAGTATAAAATCAAGGCCTGTATCTGAGGAACTCTAATATTTAAACTTTGATAGCATGTTTAGGCATTGAGGAACTTACATCGATAATAGCGCTTGCTGCCTCACTCAGGGTGGGAGATATGTCCAAGAGGTTACGTCTCAACCATGCCTGTCAAAGAATAAATCGATAGCTTTGCAGATCGGCTTCTCAAACATGCAAGAATATGGATGTTTACTGCATGCAATCAACCACCGATTTCTCTCCAACTACTCTTAACATATACTAGAGGTGACGATTCATTTTGCAGGCAGCTTGATATCCGTGACAGTCGATCCCACAACTAAATCTATGAGCAGATAAAAGTAACTTTGAAAGTGACTCGAAGGCAGAAATTATGCTGGATACAATGAAATTTTTTCCCCGTCAGGCTTATAAGCTGAGTCAGAGAGTATGTCCTCCACATGACGCTGGTATAAGTTGATTTCTGACTTGGATGGTTTGAACAAGGATGCATCACGTCCCTGCGGGCTGCAGAAGGTACATAGCTGTAAGGATCCGTGAAGGCCTACGCTTGATAGATTAACACCCATGCACTTCTAGCATATCACAAGATCGTTAAAAAGATAATGAGCGAGTAAAACTATTTCTTACAGATGTGCTTAACAGCGCAAACGTGGTGCCATCGAGGCTCACAAACAAAATGGGAGATGATTGCATTCCAACAGAACATCTCTGAAGTAAAATTTTGAATCCCTGTTCCAATCGTCTTCGAAACTATGTCAATCCCGTTCACACATCCTCGAAGACCACTTTGATAGACATTTTTACTGGTCCTCCACGACTAACCTCTCTGAGCCAATTACTTCATCGTCCATGTAGTGAACTTTCTTCATGATTCATTCCCTTCCAGATGAGAAGAGAACACCAAAGTTCAGAAGTTACTTCCGACACCGCTCCGGTCGATTCATCATCGGCTTCACTTTCTCCGCAACATTTTTCTTCGCTATTTTGGAAAGGTCGAGGCCTGCAATTTTGGACGCTCTCAGCGACCTCCCACTGAAGGACCTGACAAAGCCTGACAAACAGGAATATGGAAGCTGACAAACAGATGCAACCATGATGCAATCGGCAACACAGTATTTTCAGCCTGGATACACAACGCAGAAGAGCGCAGAGGAGAAGCCAGTCGAGTCAAGTCAAGTCAACTGAGAATGTGATTGTGTTGATATGTCCATATATGTGGATCTCGCAAAGCGATCGTTTGATGGGATTGTTCAGCAAAAGAGAACACGAATTTGACGCTCGGCAAAACGAGTATACAGCGAGATCACACTCAAATCTCCACATGCCAGTACTGATGCATTAAGCCTGGGTTGGCCTCAATCCCTCAGAAAATTTTAGCGCATGTAGAGAGAGAGAGGATGATGACGACGCAAAACTCCCCAGCTTGTCTACTTCTGAGCTTCAAGGGCTCGTGGTTAAAGCTCTCGAAGATCAGACTAATTTAAACCTCCCTCCCTACCTCCCTCTCCTCCTCTCTCACGCTCCCACTGTCCCACCCGTGCGTGCCAATATCTTTTCATTCCCAGCTGCGATCTCCTCCCTCTCTCTCCTCTCACTCACTCACTGTCATCATCCAAATCCACTCGTGTATTCCATGATCATGTTCCCAGTGTCCCACCCGTGCAAGCCAATTCCATTTCATTCCCAGCTGCGATCTCCTCTCTCACTCACTGTCATCAACCAAATCCACTCGTGTATTCCATGATCCCATCCCGACGTGACGTACCGAACTTTCTATAAGGAGTCGCGCCTGGTCGCGAGCGAGAGCAGAAGCTCGGTCGGACATCGATCGATGGATCGAGCGATCGCCGGAGAGGGCAGCGGAAGGAGCTGTATCATGCATTCATTCCTTCATTCATTCATGCGTACGCACCCACCAACAACAAGACCCGAGCAGAGCAGAGCAGCGCAGCATTGATTCAACCTCGCTTCGTCCTGTCAGGCAAGCAGCCAGACGCACACAGACAGCCAGACAAACAGGCAGGCAGAGCAGAGCAGCAGGGGAACGACGGGGAGGCAGCTACCGAACACCGGCTGCGGAGAAAGCGGAAGAGGGAGGGGGAAGACAAGCCAGCAAGCGCAAGGAGAAACTGGTTGGTTTCGCAGCGGGCCGCCGTCGGACTATTGCGGTACGTAGTTACCCCCCGGCCCCCACATCTGCGACCCACCCTAACTCGACGATCGAAGCAGCCCCTCCCCCGGTACGTACGTAGTCCTCCCGCTTCTGACTACATGTACGTATGTACTTCACGTACGTATTTCAGACAGAGACCAGTACTGTACTCTGCAGTTGGGGGAGTTTCCAGTCCTGTTGTACCGTCCTTACTCCAGAATCTTCTTCCGTTCGTTTGTTTTAATGGAGCCAAATTTTTGTGCTATTGAGGACAATTATAAAAATATTAGACCAGGTCCCTCCAAAATAGGGTGCTTTTGATATGTGCTTCCGAGTCGTTTGGAGAGCTTTTTGCAATGAAAAAAAATAATTTCTGCGTCATGGAGTAGTGACTATAGAGAACGCTCGAAATCAGCGTAGAGCTGATTATCTTCGCAGAATTGAGTTCATTTGTTTCGCAGACAGTCTGCCGCCGAATTTGGGTGGAATGAAAAGATTTTCTTCAGCATAATGAACTCATCTCGAGATGAACTTTGACCTTTCCAAGTCTTTTTACAACTACTTTTTCACTCTTCGGAGAGTCTGAAAGAGTTTGGTAATTGTAGCCAAAAACTGCTCCACTTTGCAACATATATCATGGTCATCATATAAGGAGTATGTATATCATGGTCATCATATCATTCTTCATCTTCCACTTCCTAGAGTGCTTATCAACAATGAGAGACAATGCTTTACGCTAAATAGATTATTCAATGTAATCATGGGTTGAATGGTCACATACTGTGAAGCATTAAGTGTTTAGGAAGGCTGGTTTTACCGCTGTAAACATATGTTCATATGGTATACTTTTCTTGGCTTCAAGCTTCTCGCAGACATACGATGAGGTCATAATTACCATAGATCCTTATCCCATTGAATTATTCACCATCACAAAAAGTCTGGAGTGGATTGGTTTTGTGGGAGTAACTACATAACTTCTTAGAATCACCTCTTGTGGAGTTGATAAGAGACTTATGGAGTCACCACGATCTAAATTTTCTTGTAACTTGTCATCTTTAATATTAACCACTCCCATGCCCTCCATAGTAGGAATGCAGCAGACTTAAGTGTTTGGATTACTCATACAATGTCATAAAACTTATCAAGTATTATTCACATAGAAGCATTGGAACTGGAGTGAATATATACTCTCGATTCTTTTGTGTTTTTTGAATTTTACTTTTATGATCATCACTACATTTTCAAGTAGATTGCTGCCAGTCAAAAACACCAAAAAAATCAAGTTGGAATCAGTCATGAATAATAAACTCTTGCCTAAACTTCACAATTCTTAAAATTTTATCACTTTCTTTCACCAATTCATATCAAGTCAATTGCAACCGATAATATTACCTTAGAAAATCTAATTAGACCTTACAATTTCACTTTTATGGGATGATATTCTATTGTATTCATAGAAGTTTCCAACATTTTTCATCTCTGATCTATTATCCAAGTATTCAAAGCTCAATGTGCAAAATTCATGTATTGCCATTCTCACCAAAGAAGAGTTCATCATTTCTAACTTAAATGATGTAAAACAAATACATTAATCATGAGTGAATATGATCTCAAAGAATAATTCAAATAATGACCACAAAGACATCCACAACTTTCAAAATTTGTTTTGTATTATACATGTTCACCTTTGGTTTACTATAAAAAATGACCTCAAAGATATATTTTATGTTTCTGTTATTTATATGTTTGAGATTTTATTCTTTTTAAATGTTATGAATATTTTCACCTTTGAACTACATTTAATCATGAAATTTTAGCATATTCTCAATTACTCGTCAAACATCTTGAAGCACAATCTCACTTTTACGATTGGATTTTTAAACTCATATCATGATTTTGTCTTGGTAAGCATGTCATATTATAACATGCTTTTAAGTCATATGCTCATACAAAAAAAATCCAAACGTTTTAAGATTTATCTATGACTCTGTTTTGAATAGATATTTTTTTATGATTTTTTGATTAAATTCAGACTCAATAAAAAATATAGTTATGTCTGATAAGTTGGGAATAAACATTGTTGTTCATCGACAAAAGAGATCAATAAGTTTTGGATTTTATGGATTTCTATACTTCTTGGATTCAATAGTGTAAAATGATAGACTATCTCAAAGTACAATTCAAATGGAAATGGCAATTCTAAACAGATACAATAAATGTTCACAGATTTTTTTAATAATAATTGAAATCTCAAGTTTTTTGTTCTTTCTTAGGTTTAAATTTTGATAAAATGTAAACCTTTTAATAAAAATTCTTTTTTATTAAAGGAATTTGGAAAAATATTAGCGTACAAAAGAGAATTGTGAGTTTTTTTAATTTTTTTAATTGTTTCAAAATTTTTCGTACATTTTTTAACACTATATATGAAAATTCTAAGATTATAAGCCAAATTTTTTTTTCAAGAATAATCTTGTAAAATTATAACTTTTTACTAATTATAGGTGTAATTAATGAAAAATATAAAATATGGTTATGTCATGGAACTCATAACTGTGAATAATATATAGAAAATATATTTTTTATTTTTCCTTTACAATATGAAACTTAAATAGAGTCATTGGAGTCCATGATGCTACTACACTATGTCTTTATGAGTAAAATACTTAAGCTAACTAGAACCAAGTATAAAGTATATAGTGAAGTGGATGTGACCTAAGATACAAAATGAAAACATTAAGTCCAACTACTTGTAACCTGACAATATGATGACTTGCTTCGTATATATACATTTGTTAATCATAACAATTGGGCAATGAATTTAGTTTTCTTGACAACAAAAATAATCCACATATGCTCTAAGCAAGGTAAAATGTATCCCATAGATTAGAAGGAAATGCTTCTATTCCAACAGTAATACAACCTAACCTTGATAATGTCACCATTGTTAATATAACACCTTGATATTGTCACCTAAAAGTTTGATATCAATTTTTCTAGTGCAAAACTTCCTCGTTATTATCACTATCACCCTTAATAATGTAACTATTTTTTTCCAAAATCTGTAGTGTAAGTGTGATAATATCAAGTATGGAGGATTATATGTGACAGTTGAATGGACAGATTGTAGTAGCAAAAAGGTCATGAGCCGCCCCTGTGATAAATGAAATGCTATTCAGAGGTTAATGAGCCACCTCCTTGCACCAACCTTGAACAGTTGGTGATTCAAAATTTCAGTTTTGTGGCCATTTGCTAGGTCAACATTGTGTCTTTTCCGTTTATCTAAGGTATGAATCCTCACACTACATTGCACTCAAAGAAAGACGTAGTGTTTCACAATCGTAGAAAGTTGTCATTGCTTAGGTACTTGGTTTGATACATCTTGTTGTTGCTTCGATCCTACACAAAATTAAGAGGGAGTTTTTTACGGCGCTTGCTTTGAGCAGTAGTGTTTGAACTTACTTCACTCTCGGCACTTGTAATCGGAGCAACAAGAAGGTCAGCTTGAGCGGACATGCACCTCCAGCATCTGAATGCCCTGCCTGAGCGGACACACTGTCGCAACTGCATCACGTGAGGACTGAAGCTCACTCTCAACTCTAACTTATTATGTGTCCCATTTGTGCGAGGAATTTCAGTTCTTTTTCGGATGATAAGCATGGTGATAACACATCACTATGATGTTATCTGGATTGATGGTGTTGATAGTTTTGATTTTGATTTTTGATTTCTGCTGCTTCTGGTGGACTTGATCCAATTTGAAGTTCGTGATTTCAAGCTCGTTTCTTTGATGTGCAAGATCGGTTTCTTTTTTGAAGATGGTTGTTTGGAATATGGTTATGGGGTTGAGTGTGCTTATGTATGAGTAGGAGTGTTGTGTGATTTTGGTTCATATTTTCTTAATGTGCTTGGTGATTTCAGTTTAAAGTTTCATGTTTCAAAATTTCAGGGAGGGGTTGAGTCGATGTGTTGTGTGGAGATCGCTTTCGTGGTCTTTTGAGCATCGGCATGTTGGTGCATTTGTAGGAGATTGGCCTCAGTTCTGAGTTCTCAATTTCGGTAGGCCAATCAGCAAGGATATCAAAATTCTTGCAGTCATCCACTTGCCTTAGCCTAAACAACCAGCGATCAAACCTCAGCATGTACGGTGCGTTACATGTTTTGGTTGCAATACTTGTTTTGGTTGAATTTGTGATGACACATAGATAAAGTTGTTGCTGAAACAAACGAATGCACTAGTTTTGCTCAATTATCATAGTGACTTAAATTGAGTGCTCATTTTGTGGAATGGTTTGGCAGATACGGGTACTTCCAATGGCAAGTAAATCCGCGCGCAAAAGGATAGATTTATCAACCTCTGATAAGAAGAAAATTTGTGAAGTCTACAAAACTCATCCTAGTTTGAAACATGAAGACCTCGTAGAGTATATGGTGGACCAACATAAATTCAGGCTTGTGGATTGGACCACTATTTCCAAGATTCTTCGTGAAAAAGAGAAGTGACTGAGTGTGGATACATTTGTGCGTGAAGTCAATGTTCGACTTGCTCAAGTTGGAAAATGACCTCAGCTTGAAAAAACTTTGGTTTAATGATCTGGACAAGTTAGGCCACAAAGGGAAGTTGTAACTGATGACGTCATTATGCTCAAGGCTATGAACTTGAGGTACTCATTTGGCATATGCGACACTGAGTTCAAGCTTTCTCATGGCTGGTTGCAAAATTTCAAAAATCGACATAGTGTTAAGTGTTATTATTTGCATGGTGAAAGTGGAAATGCATATGAGATTGGAGTTACATTGGCCATGGCAAAGATCCCATTCATATTGAAGAAATATGATACAAAAGACATCTTCAATTTTGATGAGACAGGTTTGTATTACATGACCTCTCTAGCAAGACTTTGAATATTGGGAAGGCAAAAGTAATAAGAAGAAGAAGTATAGTGTGACATTGAGGCTTTGTAGTAACATTTGAGGGAAGGAGCGATTGAAGCTTGTTTTCATTCACAAATCAACGCGTCCCATATGCTTTCCTCGGAAGTTTGATCCAAATGGTATAGTACATTATTATTCTAACAATTCAGACTTGATGAATGATGATGTTTTTACACATTGGGTGAAGAATGAGAACCGAAGATTGGCATTGCAAGATAGAAAGATTTGCATTATTATGGATAATGCAAGACATGATATTCATGATGAGGTCAAGAAAGTTATAGATGGATTTAATGCTTTTTTAACTCTTCCATATCACTATCTTGTTCCAAATGTGACTTCAATTGTTAAGCCTTTGGATCAAGGAGTGATTGCAACATTCAAAATGTGCTATAAGCGCAAACTTGTTGTCTGGACTACGCAACAAATTGATAACTCAGATGAAGATTTGGGAAAACTGAATGTTGATCTCTTTCAAGCAATGTTATGGTGTTTGGTGGCATGGCATGAATAAATGATCAAACCATCAGAAATTATTGGAGAAAGTCGGACATATTGCGTGCAAAGTGGAATGCAGATATCAACAATTCTGATGAACGTATGAAGTTCAAAATAGAGGAAGCAGCTTTGGAATTGGGCAATCTCATCGTTAGATTGAATTTGGGTTTGGATGTTGAAGTCAAGCCTATAGAAAAGCTTAGTAGTGTTTTGGAGTACATAAACATGGAATTTGAAGATGATTTTGAGGTGGAATATTCTACTGAGTAGCTTGTGCAATTAGTGCAAGATGGCAAAGAGATACATGATTCCATGAAAGAAGACCCAATGATTGTTGATAGCAATGATGATGAGTATAAAGTAGTGAAGCTAAGCAAGTCACATGATATATGCTAAGGATCTTTTGAATTTTATGGCTAGCCAAGGATTTTCAACACTCAAGAGTTGTGAGGAATGGAAAAAATCCATGACAAACTCATTAGAATTGATATTGGACAATTAACATCACTAAAACAATGTAACATTAGAAACTTCTTTGATTCTAGTGAGAGGTCTCTATCGGATCTTGTTGTCATTGAATTACATTTTACATTCAAATCCCTTGAAAACTTCTACTTGTTATTTTTTTGTTTACATCGTAATATTATTTTGATCTTTTACCTATTTTTTTATAATAACACATTATGCACAAATCTTCAAAATGTGACATTATCAAAAATGTCACACCTTGTTTATATCGCACTTTATGGTGAAACGGAGGTTGTGATATTATCAAGTTTAGCGTGTAGAAGAGGTTTGCAGATCTGGTAAACTATGTTTTAGATCTGTGATCGAAAATATTATTGGTATTAAAAAGGTACAAATGCTCAAAAGTCACCTGCAGAAACATGTAGAGTTACGCTATCTCTCCACAACTTAAACATGAAAGGTGATGGTCATAACAATTGTGAGGACGTAAAGGCTTTACAAGTGTCTTGTCGATCTTTCAAGAAGATGATTGTTATATTGTTTTCGCAAGTTGACTAACCAGTTTCAAAATCTAATACTGCTAGTACATATCCACACTAGTTACAATTTGCTCCAATAAGGTGGATTTGTCATATGCACCTCATGTGGTAGAAGTCTAACCATTTATCAAGTTATAAATGGTTAGACTTCATCATTCATGCCATCTTGATCGCCTCACCCTATCTTACTGACTGCATGATCATTACTGATTGATTACACTATGTATATAAATGTCTCATCTCCTTTATCATCCAAAGCATGCTGTATGTTTGCAACTCGAGGTTATATATTTAAAAATACTCAAGAACGTATTTAAGGTGAAAACATAGTACGCCGAAAATTTTACACCACCATACGTTCTTCATAAGACGAAGAAAGCTCGTGTCACAGATTAACATCTGTGAAATTCTTTTTCTATGGGCAAAGTTAAGAAGTTTTGTTTATGACCGCTGGGGCCAAATGGTGCTTTTTTGCCTACCTTCTTGTGCTCTCATCAAGTTCTCCGCAATATATCCATGACTGAATAATATCAACCTAGTGTCTACCCCATTGTCCCAAGGTATTGGCACTTAATTGGATCTATCTGTTTGAGACACTAAGAACTCGGAAGATAGATGTTATTCTATCACTTTTTTCTTTTATGTATGGCGTCTTTTATATCAGTCTTTCATATGTGGCGTCTGAGAGTATGAAAGTTAGGATGTTAAAACAACATTTTACCCATTAGAATCTTCAATCTATTACAGGTTACTCTCCATTGCTCTTGGATAATTGACTCAAGCGATAAGCATCCATACTATGCCTTTGTAGAAGCTGGCAGATTGACACCACATAAGTTGCGAAGATAGAAACATTTGCGTCTACAAAATAGGGAATATATTCTTCAAGCAACCAACCGAATCGGCACATTAAAATTCACAACTTCCAAGACAATCATGCAGCAGAGACGCCTAATTCAACAAGCATCAGTTCTCATGAAGTACTGAAATATTGTGAGAGCTACATGTCTACTACAAATAATTCATTTTATTGCAAATCTTGCGGTGCTAGTATTATAGCTGTTGCATATTGGAATCTTCATTCAGGAAAAGACAACCAAAGACGGAATTGACAAACTCCTTTCCTAGCATGAGGCCCCCGTCACCTACCACCTTCTTCACGTCGTACTTGCAGGCTCTGGCACAATCCGGGCAGTACGTAACCTGCACAAGGCATGCAGCAGTTAGGCATTTACATCATGAAGCCTGAGCAGTCCAGTAGACTAACTAAGAGAGAAGCGCCTTGCACACCATACAGTACCTCAGCAACAGGAGTAAAGGATGAAGATGATTGCAACGGTTCAAACGGAGAGTTGTTTACCTCTAGGAGTTTTGGTTCAAAATTGGCATCCAACATGAGATCGACCCCGTACATTGCTCGTGCTGTTGGAGAGTGCATTTCAGGATGTACTAAACCAGGTGCCTCGAAAACTTGACGCAACGTCGCTCTCACCTTCTCATGAATATGCTTCCACTGCACTGTTTTTTCAAGCAACCTTACAATACTTGAGTACGAGTGATATCCAGTATGATGCACGCAGTCAACCTCTAAATTATAAGATCCATGAAAAGAGAAAAGTAAATTATGGCGCAAATAGAACTTCAAGTATCATTCGACAAGTGTGCCATGGATATGCTTTGAGAGCACATGGTTCTCAGTGAACTCAAGGAGGTCAAGTAACAAGTGAGTCCATAGTCAATGAACAGCAAAAAGCAATAATCGTGCGTTAATGAAGCTTATATTAAGGATATACAGCGCAGTGTCAGTAAGAGAGCAGCAACATTTAGAAATCGTGCAGGATCTTCAGCAAATCAAAAGTGACCACAGTGGAAATATTGGAAGAAAACGTTCAAAAGTACCGGGTAAGGGACGTGCTAGTATAGACCCTTTCACTGCTAAATGGGAATCCAGGAACTGTTATAAGCGAAGAAAGGGAGCGAGGTGATGCACACTCGATTTCTGGACCGTCTAATTGCTATACAAGGGAGTAGTTGTGCGAGCATGTCTAAACCCAATTTTGTCCCTTTCTAGCCATTCACGTTATCCAAGTGTATCAGAAACTTACAACGCGTTGAGTGCTTACCATTGTATTCCCTCTCGAACTCGGGTACGAAGTCATGTGTATTTATATGGTTCATTTGACGCCCGTAGTTCTGCATTTTCAACGTTGAGAAATTTACTCGCAAATTGATTTCAACCTTATCGTTAGGGCAGCTACCTCGTAGTACACTCCAGGTGCAAAGCAAAACACCGTGGAATACAGCAAAACACAAACGTCTTGGAAGTCATGAATGACGTACCATCACTGTGAAATGTGTCTCATACTCCGACAAGCTGCTTTCCTCGGTTGTGTACTGGTTATTGGAAAACCTTGCCTGCAGAAGGTCACACGTAAATACCGTTGCCAAAACATCTGAACTTCCCTAAAACAAAATACTGTATTCATTTAAAGACCGACATAGGCTGTTGTCTGAAGTTTTACAACAGCATGCAAGTCGCAAGATCCACTCTGAACCTATTTGGACTATGGTGAACTCTGCAGCCAAGCATCACTAGTAACAAACTGGTTATCCTTCAACTCATCAACATGGATCGCAGAAGTGAACGTCGTTCACTAAATAATAGATCGTCTCTACTCCTTGCACAGAATGGAAGTGATCATTTGGACAACAAAACTGAGCAAAAAGAGCTGTAGATAAGGATAAGACGAGTCAATTGGTTTGAACATGTATCTCTTGTATAAGGGGCCTGTACCAAAGCACAGATATGAGAAGGGGCATTACCCAAAATACATCACAAAGGAAGACCTCCAAAGGTTGCACACTTCTCAACACCACGATGTATCGCAAATCAAATTTCCGACCCTGAAAAGTTGCGGGTGGATCTATGTACTTCTGGCAAATTTTAGGTCCAGTTTCCACCAGGCGAATCAATTGTGGCAAGCTTGAAGTCACAGTAGTGTCAATAGTACGAGCCATATTCCATGGTTTGACTATCCAAAGATTGTTTTGCTCGCTTCTTTCACGTTCTAGATAATCTCCTATTAAAGCAGGGAGATCCCGCTCCATATCATAGGTGGGTTGCAGCCAAGGTGGAGATCCATAAGCCTGGAAGAAAACCACGTCAGATCCAAAATTACTACGAAACGAACCGAGGGCTGCGAGAAAGGGAAAGAGATAAGACCCTCAGTGTCGCTAGAGATTCTTATCAGTTTTTTTGTATTGCCTCCCATGTCAAGATACAATTTGTAGACTAGAAATTCCTTCATGATTTAATTACGGGGAGGATGAGGACCTGTTGCATGGTATCGGCAAGGTGATGTTTCATCACCAAACACGATTCAAACGGGAACTGGTTGATAAACTGATGTGTACTAATACCAGCAGCCTTGATAAATTCTTCATCTATCTGCATACTTGTCCAGAGTATGTCTGCCTCATTCGGCTTCTCCGCTGTAGAGTCCAAGGACGGCAAAATACTTAGTAAGACTATTTTGTGACAGCATGACACCCACATACCCCAGGCTGAGCGGTGCAACCGTTCCAATAACAGACTGAGATAAGATGGGATGAAGAGGGAGAAAAAGACCAATGAAATTTAGAAGAAAGCGTAAAGCCAAAATGCGGTGTTGAAGCTAGTTCAGAAATATAGACAACGAATACTAGCTCCTCCACACGATATACAGCAAGTAGTATAAAAAACGCAATGTCTTACTTTAAACGAACAGTGGTCAAGAGAATTCTGATGCGAAAATGCTCAATTGACACAAGAGGAAGAGACTTCAGACATACTGAGAACAAATTCAGGCCGACGAAGAAATTCCTGTACAAAAGGAATGTCAGAGTACACAGCAAGAGGCCGTCCATCGCGGGGTAGAATACTCTTAGTTCGTGGCCCTTCATTCGACACTGCCTTCACTTTCGAAAGAGGAGTGGCAAGTCTCTTCTGGTAGGCGCTGTAAGCCTACAATCAAAGGTGAACACCGACCGATCAGCGTGACTGTTCTACACAAAGTCTTCTGAAAGAGATATATAATACAAAGCAGACAAAACTCAAGCTGAGGAATCGCAATGCTTCTAGACGGTGACAGCCTAAAGAAAAGGCAATGTAAGATATTATTTCAACTTCATAAAGAACAGCTAGTAGAGCGCTTATGCCATTACCTCCGCAAAGAACGTCGAAGGTGTATGAAACCAGGCAGTGAGTCTTGCAGAACGTTGTTTATCCTCCCCTACTCCAAACAGGTAGTCCCGGGTACATTCGTCACCTTTGACCACATCCTGTACGGGCCACAGCAAGGAATAGCTGCATCAAATCAGTCAAAGTCTCAGTTCCGTGTTCATCAGATTCGCTGTGTCAGATATGCTCAGTGGCCCGCGCTATACACAGCCTTAATCTCCAATCTGGCCCATATTGTTTTATCCTGGCCTAGGCAAGAAGAAGGATTAAAACCGCTCTTCAAGCTCTTTAACTTGATGACGACTATAGTGGAGGTATTACAGCTAGCTTACCTAATTGCAGACTTCACAGTACCATCTGGAAGGTACATAAAGGGAGCGACTTTGAAATTCGGTGCATCACTGTGCCTAAGTGCGGAGCCCAACTCATCCATGACATACCTGTAATGACGAAGAGAAAAATACACACTCAAGGACTCAGAAAACAAAGAGAATGAAAATTCTCAATTTCGGGTTAAGTGTTACTACATTCACAAATACTGAGTTGTTTGTAGATTTGGTGATGTGAATCCATGTTCAGAAGACAAGGGTGTCACTAAACAATTGATAGTAATCGAAAGAAGTCCCTCAAGTTTAATCACTAAGCGACGAAACCCTGAACTGTCCTAACTCAGAAATCGACGTAAAAAAACTAGAACAAATTATACCAGGCATCACCCGAGCTATACATATAGCATCAAGCAGGACAGTTAAAACTGTAGGACTTGAGCGCTGTGTCTAAGATAAGGTTGTCAAAGATCTGCCCACCCACAGTCCAAACAGCATGACAAGTCCTTTGAAGAACATTTGTAGTGCAGGGTATTACCAGATTGGGGTCTCGTCCAGTTTCTCTTCGTCCGCTAGCCGGTATGTCATTACATACAACCACATCGCTCGTAAAACTCGATCGACGATAGGTTCTTCTGGTGACCAGACAGGAAGACGGGGCTTCATGTCGCTATCAAGTACTTCCATACCTTTGTTCAATATGACACTTACTGACACCCCATTGACTTTATGAAGATTTGGAAGCGACTGTACTATTTTCAGCGCGCTACTTCCCAACGGTCCAGGAATGTCAACCTGAGAACATGGACCACAGCATTAGATATACACATGGCATCCGTCCGCTAGTACTTTGTTGTCCTCGAAGTTCACGAATCGAAAAGCGTAGCCAGTACTTTAACGTGGTATCCGAGACTTGATAAGGTACCCTTGCGAATAAAACAACGGGTATTATGCTCACCAGGTACCGACCTGAAGAAAGTGCAGACTTTGGAACGATGCAAGAGTCTGGACCAGGCTTGCACTCGAATCGTTCAGAGGGTTCCCTTTGATATTGAGACTGACAAGATCAGGCATCTCAAGCGGGCTGATAATCTGCAAAAATTAACATCTACAGAGTCACAATAAAGACTCCATATTTTCCTCGTGAAGATGCAAAGTATGATGGATCTCGTACTGTGACAAACTCTTTACGTAAAGTACTTACTGTTCTCTTATGCTTGCGAGTTGTGTTTAACACAAGTTGAGGGTTTGTAGAGTTTAGAATTCATCCTTGTTGAGCACGAGAAGAGCAAAACGGAAACCAACCAGTAACTCACACAAACAATCATGAAGAAGATCAACCTATGAGAAGGCAGTTGTATGCAATAAAGTCATACTCGAACTAAAATGTGCTCCTCACCTCTGGTGACAACTTCGAAAGCATCCTCCCCGAAAGATCAAGATCTGTCAGCTCCTCGAGAGGGTGGCTCAGACCACTGCTTTCAACGGGGTTCTCAGGTCCGTATATTCCAGCACAGAATCCAACAGCCCACTGAGTGCAACGTTTGGTGAATTGACTGTTGTACAACTCCAGCTCAGGTAGTGCACTCACAAGAGCATCTTTTGCAGCAGTTTCCCTGCACAATAATAATAATTCGGATGGTCAACAAAGATCTCAAAGCACTATCCAGAGGCATTCCGCTTCGCGAAACCCCTACTATCATGGTTTGAACGCTGATTAATGACTTCGCTCAGAAAGCTACTTGATTAAGTAGAGAGTTTGAAGGAAAAACTCGTTCCTAACAGACATGGAAGTACTTTTCCAACCGTGAATGGTCCTGTAACGGCTATGCAGAGAAACAGAATGTGCAAATATCATATCAGCTTAGAGACTTACAACTTGCTATTTAGAGGAGTTTTATTAATCCAGAGAGCCCGCAACGTAGATAGACCACCAACCGCTTCCAGAAGGACGTCAAGAGACTCCAACTTATTTCCCCAAAGGCTCAATCCAACCAAGTCCTGCTCAAGACAACATAGAGCAAACATAGACAGCACATCGACTTCAGATCACTATCAGTCACGTGTCTAGTCAAAGTGAACTGACTCAATCTTCTCCTCTGCCATTCAGGACCATCCCGTAGGTAGAAATCTTTTACCTTATGACCAAGCACATATGTACAAGTTCAAATACATTTCTTACTGTCAGCGTTGTGAAGACAACTTATGCAAGTCACGGCATTATGTGCGTAGAATAAGAGAATTCTTAGATCAGATCAATGTCGACTAGAGAGGATGGGAAACATCCCGTGAAACAGGAATATTTCGGAGAAGAATTATCAAAACCTGTCTTTTTCTCAATTAGTTGTTTCTTTGATTCTTCAAAGCAAACTCGTAGAATATGACAAACTGATTGATGTCAATCTTTGGATAACCGAAGATGCTCGATCTTGAGGTTTGATCGTCGTCCAAAGTTGGATAGACGGCAAATCATAGGTGCGAAATAATATTTGTACAGCACTGACGTGCGAAAAACCTCAGCCACAAAGACCTTTTATAAAAATTCTGGCACGTCAGCAGCTGCCCTCAATGTAACTTGCAGAACAACCTACAGAGATACCGTCATGCATACTTACTTAACAATCAAATTGAGACTTGATTATCTAACCATGACGGCGTACAAAGCCATGTAAGATGTGCTTATACGCCCAGTGATTTTACACCAATAAGGAGGATACTTCTCACAATAGAAGTTTCAAAAAACCTACAAATCTACTTTTCTAGCGAGAAAATCTCAGGAAGATTCCCCCTTGGCCGGTTGTTGGCTTAAAGTATATAACAATCAATGACATGAAAGTGGTTCATGACATGAAAGTCGTTATGAACAATGCTCCAAAGGGCGTTGGGCCTATTGTCTCCATAAGAACGGGTGCCATGATCGCAATACCATGCCCACGTCCTTAGAAGGACGCCACAATTTATGCTGTCAGCGACTTCAAGGAATTATAGATGGTACACTGGATACAAAAAGACTAGAGCTTAAAAAACCAATTTTACCATCTGGGGACGGAATTCTCCACCCGTCCCCAGATGGTATCCAAGTGCAAAGCAAAATAATACACTGCAAGGCTGTGTACAGAGAGGGCAGGATCCATAGAGTCCGCACTCAACAAACTAGAAAACAAGACACGTTAAACTGAAAAGCTGAAGCTCTTCGAAAGAACAAAAGCATCGCGGCTCAGATCAACGAAAAAGCAAGCACATCTAACAGGCTTCAGTCATCATTTCAGAGTTGCTAAGAAAGGGAAAGGGACTAGCAAGATTTCAGACAATCAAATGCCCGGTGATAACCGCAAATTTTTACAAGCGCTGCGATCGGCCGAAGAGATCTTCACAGGATTGGCTGTTAAAATTCTGTGGTTAATTTTTCCATGAAACCCTTACCGGAAAATTGGTCGACAAGTTAATCTCTCGGAGCTGCTCATCGTCGATGTTAAGATCGTCGAGCTCCAACCACTGAACTTTACTTTTGGATTCTTCAGCTTTCTTCTTTATATTTACTAACAAAGTTTCGGCCTTCTGTTTTTCTTCTTTCTCGGTAGTTCCCTCTGTTGACTCATCACAGTCCTCTGTCTCGTCCACAACGCACATCAATCTGCCCATTCGTTCCGCAAGCCCAGCGACGTCCTCCAGCTGCAAAATCCACGTGAATTTCGAATTTACATGATTGAATGATTACATTCCGCTGATAATTGCCATCCGTCGTGATATTTACGTCTCCGTCTTTGGAGCCCTTGCAGGTCAGACTCGTTATTTGTGGCACTGAACGGTCGTGAAGTACGAAGGACGAACCACGGAGGATGAGAACACCGCAACTCGCACATTGTCAAAAAAGGGAGGAAAGCAAGTTTTATTCCCGAAGCAGAAACGAAGGCAGCAGCTTTTGAAACATGAACGAACGAAATTTGGAACAGAGAACTCAGAATGCAGGACAAATACCTGTTTCCTGGCTTCTGTGAGTCGAAAGGACCAAGCATGATCGACAAGGAAAACCTGAGACTCTTTCTCCAGCTTATCACAGGTCAACACCAATCTCCGCTGGAGCCCATCTTCGCATGGTTCGATCTCGAAACAGTTGCCTCCATCGTAAATGTCGTTAGTCAGCTTCGAGTGAAGCTGGCGAACGAGATTAGGAGGCACTCCCGCCGAGGCCAGCAGAATCCCATGCACGAGTTCAAAATTCTGCAAATCCATCCTTCCCTCTCTGGCACTGCCACTCGCTCAAACATTACCAAAACCCCGAACCTCGGCCAGCATCATAAGCCTCTCCCATCGCCCGTGCTCCAAAACCCTACTCGGCCTCCTTGCAGTACCGCACCACGTACAGGACAGCACACGATAATATATAACTCGGTGACGCTTACGCAGTCGACGGCCCAGCTTCTTACTGGACTGCGATTCGGAAAACCTGGCGCACGCTCGGTCCCGATGCTTTGGCGGGGTCGATGATCCATCGACTAATCGGGCTCTAGTGCGTGGATTCGACTGCGGGGTGAGTGGAGGCTTTTCGAGCTCGTGCTGTTTTTGTGTCATGTAGGTCCTTCACAGCTCGCCATTTCTTGACCTGGATTGCAGCGGAAAAGCGGACGGAGGCCGTGCCGACCTGAACATGGATTCTGAACCGGATGGATCGTGCGAAAGAGTGGATGAGCAAGATATGGTCTCTGCAATGAGCGTAGAGGTGGAATGGTATGAGCTTGTTTGACAGATCGATTCTCGTTATCAAGATCGAAGAGGGAGGGAGGGAAAGGGAACTCTGAAGCGTGTCAACATGGTACTCAATCGAGCGCACCTTGCAGAGTTTAGCACGATCCTCGCTAATGCTCGGGTACTGAATCTACTCGATTGGCTGTCTCAGTGCATAAAGTAGGTGATTTTCCTGTCATATTATGTTCTAAAGCCGATCAGCTCAAGCGGTCTGTTTCTTGATGAACGATGCGGATACTACAGAGAAGAATTTTGAACCTCAAAGCTGTCGATGGTCCTGCAGCGTGGCATCCCGCTTGGTTGATCACCTCGCGATTGAGCACAGCTCGTTGGTTTCTTCTTGCGTGCAGAAAATAGCGGTCTTGACAGGGGCTGGTGTTTCCGCAGAGTCGGGCATTCCGACTTTTCGAGGCGAAGGGGGTCTCTGGCGCACCTGGAATGCCACGGTACGTCATGGAGAATTACATGGTCCTGAACCAAGGTCAGGGCCTGTCAATTGACTCTTTCCTTACGACTTTCGAGGGAAGTTTGTGGAGTTGCTTCTCTAGATCTGCCTGAAAACGGATTGTTGACTCTCCAGGAACTTGCTACACCGGAGGCATTCAGGGAGAGCCCTTCGCTTGTGTGGGAATTTTACCACTATCGGAGGTCAGGTTCACGACCTTGTTCGACCTCGAGTAGAGAGAAAGTTTAGCTCTTGCATTCCACTTGAATTAATGTTCACAGTTACGAAGCCCGAGGTTTGACACGAGAAGGAAAGAAACAGCCAAAATTTGCTTCATTGCGCTCAAAGGATTCACTTGTACCAGGAAGTAAACTTATCACGGTAGGGCGGACTGATGTAGAACTTACATACTGGACTCAGTCATCTCCTTTCTGTCTGTCATTCGGTGTACTTGAAACCACAAAATGTCTGAGTTGAATCAGTGACCATTTCACTGTCCATCAAAAAAAGCGTAGGTCCAGACGATAACAGTAGAGTAGTGATACTCCATAATATCAAGCTATGAGTTCAGTAAGTGGGTTGATTAATGCAGGTGCGTTGTGGCAAAGTCTCTTCCAAATGCATCGCACTATGCTCTGGCAGTTTTGCAACAACGGTGTGAGCAGGAAGGCAAAGAATTCACGTTACTTACACAGGTGCTTTTTATCGTCGAACCGTGAGACTGACATTACCATAGAAATGTGTAGGCGATGGAATGAGGGGTATAAGAAGAGTGCGAATAGATGCATCTTCAACACTATTGGTGCACTGTTGTACGAGAGAGGTTTCGGGGATTGTACAAGATCTTGTTGGCGTCAAGTTAGGTCACATTTTGCGCTGGTTGCCAAATGGTTTTAGAACATCGATGGACTTCACGCGCAAGCTGGCAGCACAGACTTCGTGGAGCTCCATGGATCCTTGTGGAAGACAAGATGCTGTCACTGTAACGATGTGCGAGTAAATCGCGACATGCCCATCTGTGCAGCTCTGGACGGCAAGGTTAGAAGCTTGTAGCTATGGAAGAATGAGCAATGAAATTTTCTCGTCGAAATCTCTATCCAGAAACGCTGATCTGAGTCAATCTCTGTTAATGCTAGAAGATGTCGAATTTAACCGAAAAGAAGATCAAAGTCACGCAGAACAATGTGTGACTGCAGGGCGCCCCAGATCCTAAGACAACAGATGCCGGAATCAAACCAATGGATTTACCGCGCTGCAAACAATGCAACGGACTCCTGCGACCCCATGTGGTGTGGTTCGGTGAGGCTCTAGAGTCGAGGGTACTACGGCAAGTCGATTCTGCTCTTCAGAACTGTGACCTGCTTCTGGTGGCAGGAACCTCTGCACTCGTTTATGTAAGTTTCCTCGGAACAAATGAAGCAGCTGCTCCTGGACTTTCGTTCATCAGTGAGTTTGATCAAGATCTCCAGGCAGCTATGGAAACATATTCCCACTAAACTCGTGTACTCTTTCTTGCAGCCTGCTGCAGGTTATGTTCCACTTGTGAGCGCCCTTGGAGGTGTTGTGGCAGAATTCAACATAGAGGATACTCCAGCCAGCCGTTCATGCAGGTGAGCCAACTGAAATAATATATAGATAGCTTCATATTCTGGGCAATTGCACAGAGTTTTCCTAACGAACCTGGTCGTCTTAAATGGCATGTAAACTCTGATTTTGCTGACAAATTTCCTTTCTGATGACTACAGAGAAATAATATTCCCGTTTTACAGAGGAAGAGATATTATCTCTCGGGGTGAAATAATGCCCGAAAAATCTGTTAATCATATCCATCCTCTCTATCGCCACACAGCCAACGAAGTCCTCGTTCTGTGGTTTGACTGTGCTATAAGATTACATCCTTTCTGCTTGGCTAATGTAAGAAACTGTGTTGCAGGTTCAAGTTTCGGGGGCCATCTGCATGTACGATACCGCAAGCTCTGGGCATATCCTTGGGCCAACTACCTCAAGCTCCATCCAGTTCGGATTCTTCGGCATGAACTTAGTCAAGCCTTGGCCAGCCTGAGGACTGGTCGAAAATGTCCGCTCATCCCGGACTATACACCTAGGGAAGACCGACGAGTTCTCATGTCGCGCAACCATCACAAGTATTATCCGTACTCATACACAACGTCATACGTACATCCCCAAATAATAATAATAACGATCTCCAAAATACTAGTCTGGATTTTGGGGATTATTACATTCTCAAGAGGGTGTCAATTATGCAAGGTAACGGGGAAAGGAAACGCGAGCAAATATCGGGAACAGTCAACAGTGCACTATGATCCCCTTACACAGAGTTCAATTCAAGAAATTGTACATATCTATGAAAACAAGGAATTTGTGTAGTTTATGTGACTACTATGCTACTCTCTTCATAAAAAATTAGTTGGGGTGTGGGTAGATAGAATTAAACAATCACGTTAAGATCCTACGTACGAACACAGTATGTAATTGTTGAATTAATTTGGACATAGTATGTGATTGTTGAAGTGATTTGGAACGGAAAGATGTGGAGAACGATGCATTCTTATACACCCTAAAGCTTTTTCTAATAGCCAGTATGAATTATTATATGTCCCGAGCATTTTCATGTTCATTCAAAGGAAATTAGAACTGTGCTACAGAGGCAACACATACCAGAGCCACGTAGAACTGCGGTCTCGCAACAGACAGGTCGAAATGTCATTATTGTGTGGAGTCAAGACAAGCTGCCTAGCAAGACTAGAAACACTAGAAAATAACCCACGTGTTACTGTCAATTGCACACCTCTAACCGAAAAGCATTACGGGTCATATCTTCAATTTTTATAATGATTATATTCTTTTCACAATCAACAATGCCAATAATCGTACAAAACTTAGCACAAAGGCGTAACTGAAATAAATGCAACATTTGGAATCTGTCCACTTCCGCGTTTTGGCGTTTCCACTTCGCTCCCAAGAGGATTTACATCGTAACCTCCGTGTCACAACAACGTGAAAGTTATCGCTAAAATGAAAACCTCAAGTGCTGGGTTTTATTTCATAGTTTTATACTATTGTCGAAAATTTGGAGCTGGAAGGTTTAGCCAGTTCCTTGTCATTAGTACACTATAGATATGACAGAATTACGAGAGGTTTAATTATAATCTTAAGGTTTGACCTCCGTTGATCGACGTGTCGATATATGAACCAGGAATCTGAAATTAAAACAAGTTCCGACGTGCAATATAGTCACACAATGAACACAACCAACACTTGCTCAGGCAGATCGAAGACGAAGCTATCAAATTTATTAACAATCAATCCGTGTTCAGGGTTTTTGTCAGATGCCCGGCAGACTAGGGCGTCCAAGAGACTCTTGTTTGAACTCCATGATTGCAAGATAATGAGAAATAGTTGCCAGACAAAAAATTTCTAAAAAATTGTTGGAATTCAAACTGTGCAAAAGAGCAAAAACAGCATTCCACGACGAGCTACTTACATAAGAAATCACACAAGTGTAGTGGATAACTGAAGCCAAAGCTGCCTAAAGTACTAATGCGAGCCTCTTCATACAAAGGCCGCTCCATCTGCAGCAAAAATATCAAGTTATACTTCCCATCGTCTTGCCAAGTTGACACTGCTTCTGTTTTTTTATGTCCAACGCTAGATGCAACACCCTTTCACACGTTTTGCAGAATCTCATCCACCACCATCATCTTGAAAATTCGGGACTTTCATCGGATCGTTATTTTCAGTGTGATCGTTTCGGATGCACTCGCGAACCTTGGAGCTAGCGTCATCAAAGCATATTGGTAACGGTCATTCAAACAATAATAGAAAAGTAAGTCATGTCAGATTCCTCCAGTGACTAGAAAGCAGAAGAGGACGGGGACATGCGTTAAAGAAAAATTTTCTTGGAGACTGCTGCACTTCGATGTATGAAAGTGGAAATTTACAGCAAACTTCTCTTTTCAGAGGTAAGTTACTAAGAGCAAGAGATGTTCACTGCAGACGACTGAGCACCTTGAACTTGTAGATAAGCTATGTTACAACGCCACCCATATACAGCAGAACAGGCTTGGATCTGACGTGGTGTGAAGGTTGAGAGCTTGGTGCCTTCCGGGAGTTTTTTCTATATTCAGTAGCTGAAGTGGCCATACCGTTCGAGGCTGATACCGTCTATTTGCTGCAACGATCGATAAACTTCTCACACCTGTATCTGAGACGACTGACAATCTGATTTTCTAATCCCATATCGTAGCAGAGCTCATCCCCGGGTCAGGTGGTGGCATTAAGTATAAAACAGACAATTACGTCGGAAAGGTTCGGTGCTATTATGTACAATGCTCGTGGGGCCATAGAAGTGTGCGATTCTAAAGGACAAGTGCAAAATCGAAGTTCTCAGAAAATCGGAACACTGTGCCGGGATGCTTGAAAGTGAGTGAGTGCATGTTCATGCTGCTCCAAGAAGAACTACACATCTCTCTTACTCTCTGTCGTCCCTATTTGTCGCAAATTGACGAAGGGCGTCTGCTATGCTTACCAGCGCTGAAATGTAACCGGAAGCGATCCGCTCGTTCGCCTCCAGCGTTTCCTTGTGGCGCCGATCCTTCCTGTCCTCACATTCCAGCATGGTCCTCTGAGTAGCCATATTCGCCCTCTCAATTATGGCTGCTATTCCTTCCGCATTTACCCCTGGAGGCAGCTTCCGTTTCTTGCACGTAGTCGGTCCATCTTGAGGATCGCTTTCGCCCTCCTCTGAGGATGAATTGTCTCCGTTACTAACTAAATTGACGCAGGCATTATTTACCTGCAAAGGAGAAGGCACTGACGTGTCGATCACGATGTCGTTCGGATCTACAGCACGACTCCGGACAAACCATTCCCCCAAAGCATGAAAGATTTCTTGCTGAAAATTGGAGGGTAATTTCTTGGTTTTCCGGTCATCTATGGTCATCTGCCAGTAAGAAGTGCCGCCCCTGGGAACCTGTTTTTCAAAATCTCCCACCTTCTTGAAGTCCGCAGACATCCTTTCCCATCTATCCCTACACTGCTGTGCGCTTCGCTCGACGCGCTGATCCCAGCAATAGTCTTCTATCCACTGCCATCGCTCCGCAGCAGACTTGTGCTTTTCCTTGGGGTCAGCCTTCAGTTGCTTCTCTTGGTCCTCACGTTTGGCGGTCTGAAGCACCTGGAGCTCCGTCAATGTCCAGTTAGACTTTTTGTACACTCGGCCGTGTCGTGGCCCCTCGCGTTCTTCCATGACTATATCATCATCTGGCTTCTTTCCATCGGATGTATGCAATCCATCGGACAGCGAATGCAGCCCTGTCATGCCTCCCTTTCCCCGCTATTTCTCCTTTCACCTCGGCCACCTTATTCTACTCCTACTTTCTGCCCCTAAAATTTCCCCAAGCCCTCCTCCTCCTCCTCCTCCTCCTCCACCACCACCGGTTGTCATTTCATTTACAAGAGAGCACTATGCCACACGAGGAAAATAAACACCGTCTCCTTCGAGCACCGCTCCCTCGATGGCTACGAAGCTCGTGCCCTGGCTGCTCTCCGACCGGGCGTCCAAGGCCTCGACCCGCGGTCGTCCGAGTCGCTATCGAGCGTCGAGCAATCTATCTAAGTCCCGCTCTCTCGCCCTCGGCGTCGCTCGAAGCTCACGGCCCCGTCTTCATCCTCGACCACGTCTCGCTGATCCACTGGCCCGCCCTTGCGACTCCTCCTCTCCTTCTCCTGCATGTCAGCGGCACCGAACGCTCTCCCGCCCGCGGGTCTCCACCTCCACCCCACCCTCCTCCTCCTCCTCCTCCGCTATCACTTGGCAGCAGCAGCATCAGCGAGGACAACGACGACGACGACAACATCATCGACCGAAGCACGACACTCCTACGACAACATTCCTCTCCCCCAGTCCTCTCTTCATCCTCGTCGGACACACAGGCGCACAAAGTACGAAGGCGATCGGAGTCTTGGCTTCCACGACGCTGCGCTCGCTCATTCTGAGCTTAGAGGGCGTCCGTCCGCTCGTCGCCGCGGGCCCTCGGGGCCGAGCGCGCCGTCTACTCCTCTGCTCTGCTCTGCTCCTAGAGTAGCGCTACGACCGCTGCATGTACTCTACGATGTCGATCCGCCAGCCCAGCGCGCGTTTGTGCTTGCATGGCGCCATCGCCTTCCGCCCGCTGCCGGTGTCCATTCGAATTCGCCCGTCGCCCTCCGCTTGCCTTTGCGCTGCAAGGCTTTTCTCCGGCAGGCAGGCCAACGAGCGAATGCTGTTGGTTGCGTTCGGATGCGGTGGGGTCGGACCGTGGTCCGTGACCGAGGTGAGCTGAGGTGAGCTGACAGCCGGAGAGGCGACTTTCATCCGTGTGCTGTGCAATGCTGCACGCAGCCACATCTCTACCCGGTCGGTGCTACGGTTCCTCGCATCCGAACTGCAGTACATCCGGAGCTCAGCTCCAGTTCCACCATCACGGCTCCCATTGAACTATATCCTATAAATAATTAAGATATTTTTAATTCACCAAATGTTATGCAGATACTCATATAATTGATTTTTCATTCGAAGGAGGTAATCAGATGCGATACTATATATCAAACCTGATTATCTATGATCTTTTATCTTGAATTTACATTTAAATTGGTAATATACTTTTAATAGAGTGCAGCACTATGTAAAAAAAAAACTAAAAGCTTTACCTCATATGTCACAATTTGAAAAAAAAAGTACCACAAGCAAAGAAAATCACAAACCGTGAAGACCATATAGTCATCTACATTAATGCTTCAATAAAAGATCATGATGATTAAAAATATATCTAATATTAATTCTCTGCAGCACATATCCCAAACTTGAATGATTTTTTGATGAAAAGTATTTTCATCGTGTGAATTAATTTGGATATGAATTTAATGTTTGATCAATACATTTTTCCATGTATATAGTTTAGATATATGTAAAAAATTTGCATTACATCTTTAATTAAACATTGTAGTCAATTTTACTTGAATAATTCTCATTAAAAAATTATTCAAGAAGAAAATACTATTGTCATGATATATATTTGAGTATCAATATATTTTTTGTCTTTCTTACATGATTCAAATTTAAATATATTAGTTTAAAACTTACATTGTTATATTTATTATGTCTTTGTTTCATAAAAAAAGGTATGAATGATATTCTAGAATTTATTTTTGAAACATTACATAGAAGAAAAAGAAATTTCATGTATGTTTTTTGTATCCTGGTGTTACATCTCTTTTAAATTGCTATCAATACTTTTTGAATTTTTTTAAAATATTTTTAATATTTTTATATTTAATGTATATTTTAATATGTTTTTTTTAAATATTTGAATTAACAAAGAAATATAATAATACTTAAATCAAAAAAATTTAAACCTTAATATTTATCATTGAATCAAAAATTTTCTATTAATAAACTTTCTTAAATCTCTTGGGTAGTTTTGATGATTAATCACTTGAAATTTATTTTACTCGAATAATTTGACACATTAGTCAATGAATCAAATTCAGTGAATGCAGATTTCAAATGCCTGCATTCTTTTCTTCTTTGAATTCAAAGGCATTATTAATATCTTGAAATAAAGCTTCATCCTGGGTAATAATGTCAAAAAAAATTAAATATATCTGCATCTTTTTCAAATTCTTAAATACTCATGTTTAAAAAATTAAAATTTATACGTAATATGATCAATATATATTCAAAATCTTCTTATTTCAATTGATTATTGATGTAAAATAATACAAAAGATTCAATTTTCAAAATCACTAATTTCAATCATTTTGCATTTGTATTGTAAATTAAAGATATGAAAATAGTGTAAATATTAATCAATTTTTTCTAAAATTAATTATTTATGTTTGTTTGTCTTTTATATATGCAATAAGACTAAAAATATATATTAAAATAGATGTTAGATTGAAATAGTTTTATTTGTTGTTAGTGTTGTTTTCATACTACACCGCTATTAGCTAAAACAGATTTATGTGGATGAATTTATATGTCAAACTTTTTTTTTTTCAAATAAACTCAAAATGATAAAAACAATTTCTATAAAGAAAATCATAATTTTAAACTTTGAATACAAATAATCCTAAATTGATGATTAAATGCTGCTTTGGAGAGTCTGAAAGAGGTTATAAGATGCTACTAGAAAAAATTTGAAAGTGTTTATAAAATTTTGTTATAAATTATTTTAAGAGGTGAAAATGTTGGTTCCGAGTAATCCTAGAATGAAAAAAAAAATTGCTTCAAATAGTTTTAAAATTGTGAAAACGTGCAAATACAAAGAATGTGTAAATGATTATTAACACCTCGTACCAAGTGAACCAAAGTGAAAACTTAATTGATACAAAATCTCAAATTCAGAAATCATAAAAGTCAAAATGAACGAATGATGAAGACACTTTATCCATTTGATGAATTGTAAAAATAAAAAAGAATGAAATAGATGTCACATGCGCAAAGATAAAATACAAGTTATAATTTTAAAAACTTAGTATGACAGGATACGCGGTGACGGCTAAAAAGTAGCCAAAGAACAAAAACAAATCTTGATAAGCAAGTCAGATTACATGTTTATGAATTAATTTCTTACTTATGATCAAACATTTTTGCTAGATTTGAAACATAATTTTGCAAAAGAGTTCATGTTATTTTTGGGGGATAAGAATAATTTAATGCCAAAATTCATGTGTATTTTTGCAAAAAAACGTCAAAATAATTTATTCATCAACTGTTGAAACTTTTGATGATATTTTTGTTAAAATAAATCACTATCTAAAAATAATATTTTATCTACAAATTCTATTTTTTTCAATAGATGATGAAAAAATTTATCAACAAATGATGACACAAGCATATTATCAATAAAAGTATAAAATTTGATTCAAAATTGAAAGCAAAGTTTAAATATAATAAAATTTTAAATGATTAATATTGCAACATTTAATAATATTTTTTAAGTTAAAAAATGTGAAGATATTTTTTCTTGCAGTAATTAAATTTAAAATCTATTAATTTGATTTTACAAAATGCAATTCATGGTATATTTTGACACTACATTCTGAAAAAACTGAGCAATTTCTGAAAAAAAAAAAAACAAACTGGAGATCCTTGTCATGATCTAATATAAGATCTCTTCTAAATCCATTGATATAAATTTTTAAATTAATTTAATTTTTTTTCAAATTAAAAAATTTAGTTGCATCTCAAAATCTAAAAAATAATTCTTGTTGTTTCAAATAGAATTATATTCATATTTTGTAAAAATTTATCAAATTACGTATTAAAAAATCATGAATTTTTTATACGGTAAAATATGAAAAACACAATGATTAATCATTCAATCAAACAGACAACACTAGACACAAAAATAACGTGGTTCACCCTCATGAGGAAGAGTGTTATGTCTATTGTGAACACGCGTTGCTTTACACTAAGTCTTGTCATAAAAGAGTCTATGTACATGGCAGGTGCCCAGATATTTAATCCCAATTGATACTAGCGTCTAAGCTATTTATAGCTAAAATCCAAGATTACTCTTTAATTGGAATTAATCTCAACAATCTCGGTTAATTTCCATTTTAACTTTTATATTTTTTTTTTGGTTTCATATGCTATAATCTCAAAACAAATTCATTTCATAATAATAATAATAATAAATTATGATTATTATGTGATTTTTTGAGTTTTAAATATTATTGATATTTAACCTAAAACATGCACATCATATGTATTTTTATTATTGTTTTGATTTAAATAAAGGATAAAATTGAATTTATTGATATTTATTTATATTATCATTGTTATCCAATTAATATTTTGTATTTATAATTTATTTTTGGAAAAGTTTTGCAAGTATTTTATATTAAATATTATATTTATGTGAACTATATTAATGATGATCAATACTTGATGGTAATTTAAAAAAAAAAATCTTGTTGAATTCATTTTTAGAGATTATGATCATGAGGAATTCTAACATTTAAAACCTATTGAATATAAAATGTGTTAAAGAGTTCAAACACTATTTAATAGGAGTGTAGATTAAATATAGATATGTCAAAAAATCTTAAAACTTCTCAAATATGAGTATGTTTAATCTTTTTGTATTGAACTTTTAATTTTATTTTGACATCTGGTAGCATATCATTTTATTAAAGATTTTTGTCAAATAATAAATTTTTTTGATATTTATTGATCTGTAAATTATATATGATATAGTAATTTTATATTTAATCCGATTTTTTTAATATTAACATTATATTACTAAACTTGTAAATTGTCAAAATTTACAAAACTTGAAATCAAATTTATCTTTATGCTTTTCTAAAACAATCAAAGAAATTGATTGTAATGAATTTTAACATGTTATGTGATAAATGGTATTATATCTATTTATACTTAGTTCATTTTGAAATATTCTTTGTATCTTGTATCAAATTTTATGATTTCATTTATATTATTGCTTTGTGATATGTTTTGATTAGAATTAACATTTTAAATAAACTGTAATCATTTTCAATTTTACCACATTTCAAATTTAACACAAGTCAAATTATATACTTTTCATTATATATTTTTCTATTAATTAAATAATGGAATAAAAAATAAAGATATGAAAATTTTTTAATTTATATTTATATTGTATAGATGTTTTAAATTTATTTTGAATATTTCAATTTCAGTGATTATGGATATCATGCAAATAATAAAAATTTACAATATTAAATATATTATCAAATTTCAGGTATTTTTTGCTCATATGGCAAAAATTTTAAAAATTAAACATTAGATCATCATTGATTTATAAAACTGAAAAGATTTGCATGACACTTCATAACTCAATAATGAAATATCTATGTAAATCAATGTTACATATTTTGAATAATAGAATTACTAAGTGCGGACTACATATGTTGAGAATAAAAATAATGTGGAAATATTCCTAGAGTAATTACAAGTCGAGACGGTGAACTGTTGATGATGGGTACTATGTATCTAGTCATTCAGATTTATGTTTCTGATAAACTTAGTGCAACAAGTCTAGTTGAACATTTCATTTATTTGTTGCCGATAACATAACCCGGAAGGATGAACTACATATATTTTTAAGAATATAAAATAAAATACAATGTAATGCCAGCAAAATTAAGTCTACAAAGATTAAAAAATTTCTTTATTGATATTTCAAAATATATTATGAAAAGCTGATGCTATTTTTTTATGTAAAAAAAAATTTTAATTAATTTAAACTAAATTAACTATATTTGATCAAATCCAAGTTAATTTTCATAAAAACTCTCTAATTGAATCATATATATTTTAATTCAAATAAAAAAATTTAATGTTGATGTGACAAACTAAAGTATTCATCATTTGATTACTAGTTGGATTTATTTATTGAACATGAGTTT